CGGTGGTCGGTGAGAATTCCCTCTCTTTTGGTGTCGCCAATCAAAGCTGTCTTGTTGATCATGGCGTCGCCAATGAGATTTAGCCTTATTAGTGTGTCCAATCAGAATTCTTCTTTAGTTTATGGTAATTCTAATCACGGCGCCTTTTTGAGTGCTGGGGTCTCTCACCAGTGAGTCTTTCCAAGATGGAGGCTCCAATGAGAGCGGATCTTGCTCAACTCCCCTCCATGATGGGGGGTCTTGATGCCGCGCTTTTCCCTCTCCATCCTAGCATTGTCGTATGCATTTCTTGTTATCATGCGCGTTGCGATCGTTCAGTGTTGTGAAGGTTAGGTTTAACATTGTTTTGAGTGTATCATCTGGCTTATGTTTTTCAGGCAAATTTTATGATTAGTCGTCGATAGATGCTTTATGGCGAGGCCGTGTCAAATGTCTCGTAGCATTAGTTTTATGACTTGTTGTGCTGGACACTTGGAGCCTTGTTCGCGCCAGATGTGTTTATGAAGTTTATTTTCTTAAGATATTCGAAGTTTTGCTGAATTGTTTAGATTTAGTTAATCCGAGGTGCGTTTTTGAATGTTATTACTAGCGTAGCCGAGAGTTGCCTTTTTCGGAACTCTTATCTCGATTTTTCTAGATGTTTAATGAGCTGGGAGTTTTCTTACATTTTTTAACATTCCGCCCGCCATCAGCAATTCGAATTGATAATTATTCCTCTCTACTCTTGGGGATTGGTAATACTGATAATTTATGGATGGGTCTTACCATTGTAGTGGAGGCTGTACCATTGTAGTGCTGTTTTTAGTTTGACGACCCTGGATAAGTCGTCTGGTCCTGGATGAATCTTGATCACCTTGGCAAGAGGCCATTTGCAAGGTGGAAGGTGCTCCCTTGTAATGAAAACCATTGTTCCTACCTGGATATTGTTTTGTGGGTGATGCTATTTAGAGATTGATTGTTGTCGCTGCAAGTAATGTGCTGACCATTGGGACCAGAATCGTTGTACTTGCTGCTGTATGAATTGCCATCGTATTAGGTGTGAGACGTTTACATCCTTTAAGGATGGTTCAGGTAATGTTGTTAGAGAGTTTTCAATGAGGAAATGACCTGGTGTTAATCCAGAGCAGTCTTCTGGGTCATCGCTTAATGGTTCTAGTGGTCTTGAGTTCAATATAGCTTCGATTTGAGTTAGTAGAGTAGTTATCTCTTCAAATGTGAGTAATGCTTAAATGAAATTTTGTTGATTTCACTACGGCTTCCCATTTTCCTCCCACGTGGGGGGCAGCTGGTGAATTGAATTCCTATTGAGTGTTGTCTTGAGAGAGCATGTTGAGAATTCGTTGATTTTCGTGAGAACCTTGTAGCAATAGTTTCTTGATGACTTTGTCTGCTCCTAGGAAGGTAGTGCCGCAGTCTGAGTGTAGTGTGTGAGGTATGCCTCTGCGTGCGGAAAATCGGCGATAGGCTGCGATGAATCCGTCTGTTGTGTAGTCGCTGACCACTTCTAAGTGTACTGCTGATGTGGCGAAGCATAAAAAGACACATATCCATGCCTTGTGTGTTTTTGCTCCTCTTCCCTTCCACGTTTTTATTGTTAGTGGGCCGGCATAGTCGACTCCAGTGTGATAGAATGGTGGTGATGGCGTTACTCTTGTGACGGGTAATTGTCCCATCAATTGTTGTGCGCCTGTGGCTCGTTATCGTGCGCATATTGCACAGTATAGTATATGTTTTTTAATAGATTGTCTGCCTCCAAGAATCCAATACTGTTGACGTGTGTGTGCCAACGTGAGTTGTGTGCCTCCGTACAGTGTGTGGAGATGTACTTGATTTATTATGAGACTTGATACTGTGGATTTTCGTGGGATAATTGCTGGATGCTTTTAATCATGATTTATTGATGCTTGTGATAGCCTCCCTCCAACTCTGATTATATACTTTTAGTAAATAATAATTAATACATTCTATCGTTCAAAAGATATTACTATTGATATATAGAAATGAGCCAACACAATGAAAATAACTTTTGTTATAAATTATTCTGATATAAATATATTTAGGTAAAGTATAAAAAGATTGGTGTGTCTAAAAGAGTTGTTATAAAAATACGATATATGATTAATTATGGTTTATAATGGATTATTTTAAAAGTCTATTCATGCTTCATTAAATATCTAAGAATTTGTATTATGCAATTCGTTTTGCAATACATGAAATAAATTATTTTTAGATAAAAATCAAAAGAAGAGAATGTTTTATAAAGCAATATTAAAAAATATCGATTTTAAAGATTTTACGAAATTTCAGTAATATGTCATATGCTAATTTTAAAATGAGCAATAATAATTAATTTTAACTGACGTTGATTTCTTCGTGAGTATAAAAATATATATATATATAAGTCTATTTAATATTAATGTTAGGTTGAATTAAAAATGTCGATCATGCATTTATATAGTTTTGCATTTTATATAGACTAGTAATTAATAAATTTGATATAAAAGAGTTGTTAGATCATTAAATATTGAAAGAAAAAGAGTTGATATAAGAAAAATATTTGATTATTGAAATTATTGATTATTGAAAAAAGGTATTATTCAAACATTACATTAAAACTGTTTTCAAAACTAAACATATTAGAAAATACTATAATTTATTCAAATCCATATTTTGTAAATTTTATATTATATAACTTTATTTCATACATTCGTGATTATTATTTATAAGCATAAAATAAGATGATGATCAAAAATAAACATATTAGATTAAATATATTTGCTGGTCTCTTTATAATTTAATTGCTTTATTAGTTCACTTTGGTAATAATAATTATTCCGAAAACTAAAATTAACTCTCCTGATCAATAATTTTCTTACTTGTTCGTATGCTGATGTACGATCATTTATTCGCTGTTTATTAGTATAAGTACATACGATATACTTCATAAGAATAATTCTGGAATTCTATCATATATATACTTATGATGATATTTATCTTGTAATCTACATAAATGCCGAGTGCTATTAAGCTTTTTCATTTGGTCCTCTTCTCACTTGCAGTTTACTGCTCAACCGTCGAAGTTGTTCGATCCGATCGTTTTGTGCTCCTAGAAATATATTGAGCCGCCGTGACTGACGTTCATTCCCTGTCTCAGAACAAGTTGTCCAAACGGGTGCATCATTCCAAAGTAAATCAAAGCCACCGACTCGCGTCTCGCAGCCCGTCAACAAACGCTCGAAATCCAAGATATTTAATACGTCGTCAATGAGGTCAAACTTTAATCGAAAGTCCTCTGGACTGGTAGCATTCAGCGATGGCGAGGCGTTTACCTCTAAAAGCCAGGGCTTCAATAACTCGTCAAGAATCACGTCGTAGCCGTAGAGTTCAAATGAATTTTGGCTTTGTATTATAATTGATTGTACAGCTTGCAAGCTTGCCATTATAACACCTGTAACATACGAAGAAATGTCGATGCTAATATAAAAAAATATACTTAAAAATATACTAAAATTGTGAAATATACCTAAAATTTTAATTGGTGATTATTTATATATGAAATATTTATGAAACACAATATAAATTATTAGCAGCACAACTCAAGATTTTAAATGTTTCAATTTGAAACTCTTAAAGTAAAAAGACAGCGGTATCGAAAGCATGATATTTTATTATTTTCCGATGATTAAAAGTCGACTCATTGCTTAAGTGAGAAAACACGGACCTGCAATGTTTTGCAGCAATTCATTAACAGCTGCCACTCCATGATGTGTTGTAAGATACTGCCGAAGATTGCATAGGGCCCATTTACGGCCAAGTTTGCTCCAGTGTGGACCGTTATTGTTGGATGCCATGCTTTTCTCCAATGATTCCGCTTTAATCCTATGCTTTTTGGCTTTCAGTTGGATAGACATATTCGTTAAATGAATTCGATTATCGTCAATACGCTCCAATGAAAACTGTTCCCCGGAGAGACGTGCGAAGCCTTCGCGCGCAAGCCAAACTTTCAGTGGGGTAAAAGACGTCACTAACACGTAGATTCGCAGATCGAACTTGTGGCCTTTGGAATTTATCATTATAGTTATAGATACATTTAATTATCTTTATTGGATAATCAAATGTATTAATATATTATTTATTTATGGATTAATCATATGATTTCAGAGTTAATTAAAAAAAAATTTTATCTAAGAAAAGTACTTTGTTTTATTTTTGAATATGTCCGTATTCTCGATACGAGCATAATAATAAGAATGACATTAATAATGATGATGATGATAATAGATATCATTGTATCATTATAATAATATTATAATAAACGTTATATAAATATAGTAATTACATTAATGATCCTGATTCTTTATATGTTATTATATCAATCAAATATTTTGTAAATTTCTTATAAAATTAGCACACAGTTACATTTGACTATATAACACACTGATGCTCAGCGACTTTCACATCGATTTATTAATTTACATTTCATTAATTTTTTTTTCGATATTTGTCGGTTTTTACTGCTATAAATATTTTAAATACATTTCATATCTTCTATTCAACTAGCTATATTGAAAAGTTATAATATCTCAATCATATTTTGTAATACACGTAATTGTTAAATATTTCTTTCATTTAGCCTAAAAATAATAAAAAATGACAGACATGAGTTGTCTGGGATCAGACTTTAAACCTCCTTATGATGGTGGGTGGAGGCTTACTGGCAAGTGGGAGGGGCAATGCAATTATTCAATACTGTCTTTTGTGCTTGTAGTCTTTACTTTATTAAACATAATAAGTAATGAGTAGTTAATAATCTATTAATATTGGAATGAGTGTATGATATAATGAATATATTGGTGTTTCTTCAGTAATGGTGATGGCGATAAGTTTGTAAGTGTGTTCTTGATAGCCTGGAGCGTGATTCCCCTTCTTCCTTGTGGTTGAGTAGTTGTAGTGGGGAACTCGCGGTGGTAGGAGAAGCAAGTTAGTGCCGTCTTGACAGCCGGCGAAGGGGTGAGCTGTAGTGTACGAAGTGGTGGGAGAACGTCCGTGTGACGTCACAGCTTGTGTCCTTGAGCTCCAAGGTAGTGGTAATATTGGTGCACGTTCGTGTGCTCGATGCGAGCGTAACCCGCGGTGTAGAGGTAAAGGTAAGAGCTAGCGTCGGTGTTACTTACATGCGGGCGTAAACCGCGGTGTAAGGTAATATGCAAGAACGAGCGTAAGCGTTGCTTGCACGTGGTGGCGGGAACTGCGTGAGGTGGTAGCAGGAACCGCGTGATGAGATAGTAAGAACGAGCGTCTGGTCGCATCTTACTTGTGTTGGCAGAAACCGATGCGGGCGTAAACCGCGAATGTAGAGTAGTGACGGTCCTGTCGTGATGGGTGCTTGTTAACTAGAAGAAGTAGTAAGGAACGAGCATCTACGTTGCTTACGGAGGCGTGGGTGCCAGTATAGTTGTGGCATCGCTATTAGTTCCTTAGGTTGATTGATGCTTGCCATGGCCTCCCAATGACGATGGCAAGGTTGGATAGCGATCCCGATGTGAAGAGTGCATGATTGGTACTAGCAGGGCAATCGCGACACGTGCAGCTCCTTTCACATTCTCGTACGAACAGGATACGCCGATAGCGCATCGATGGCTGTTACTATGCCGCTATTTTTCGTGACGGCAATAGGGCATAGCTTTGTCGGGTTCATTTGTTATTATTTCTCGGAATTATAGTCGTATGTTCGAGTTTTTCGGTTAGAAGCATTCGTTAAGTCCGTTGGCCAATGTTTACCAAACAATGTTTCGCGCGCTCATACCTCTCCCACTTTGTATTCCGCTTAAAACTGTTGTAATCCGTAACATGAGTAATAAAATAAATAAGTATTTACTAAAAATTTAGGATGTTCGAAAGCAAAACTTTAGAATGTTCGAAAAATTCTCGGGATCAATGTTTACACATTCGAGAGCTAAAACGATTATAAAATTCCGAGAGCCAAAGGTCTTGGAAAGTGCTCCAATCCTGAACAGATATCCTTTCATTTTACATAAAAAAAATTATAAATCAATGTTTATTATTCCAAATGAAAAAGTACACATTTTATAAGAAACTAACGATATTTTTATAAGTATGTAATTGAATATTACTGTAAGTATATCATTATAAGTGTACAACTATTATAAACAATTATTACAAGAAATATAGACAAATTTCAGAAAATAAATGTTTATCATTAAAAATATTGATATTTATTTATTAATTTATAAATAAATATAATTAAATAAATAAAATTGTAAGTAATTATTAAAAAATAATAACCTTCTAGCAAATAAGGCTTGTCGATATACTTTTGAACAATGTAAGTAGCTTGATAATGTATTGGATCAGTATCTGAAGTACTAACAACTGGTGCACATTCTCTTGCTCGCCAGTTTGAAAGATCTTTCATTCGCTGAAACAAAAATATACCTCTGCCCTATGAGCAGAAATACTAATAATTATTATTATCTATCTATGTAAAATAAACAATTTCAAGAATATTACAAATGTTTTCATTCATTAAATCTATCTTTATATTATTTCTATATCGATTTGAATTTTAATTAGGTAATATATCATTACATCTATTTAAATTAATGGCGAGAGCGACACTAGAATATGCGTTCTTCCTCACTCGCTCAAGAACGCAGCTCTGCTCATAAAAATTTTTATACGTCATTACCTTCTCCTTTCACATGATACCACATTGTTTATAGTTTTTTAACTTATATTTTTAATTATCCCAAACGAGTATTTTAAATGTTTGTATTTTAGATTTAAGAAGTTTTATAAGAATACTTTGCTACTTGAATTCCATAAAAGAGTTAGTTTACCGGATTCCCCTTTAGAGTAAAGAATCTTCTTCTTGAATAGATCGATGCCGGAGATAGATTATGACAGAAATTATTGGAGCTTAATCTTTATAATGTGCAATAATTTGTTGAATATGTTATTGTTGTTAATTTAATGAATGCAGTAATTGAAAGACTAAGTTTTTCAAATATTAATATTAATAGTTTTATAATGAATATCGTATATATACTATTAATTTGCGAATTTTTGAAAATTCTATTGAATGAAAATTTCTTATCTTGAAAAGCGATGATTTCGAAGATTATTTCGTTTTGACATATGTAAAATTAAAATACTATAAGAAAGCATATTAATATAATTGATTTTAATATTTTCAAAAGAGTTCATAGAGCAAATGACTAAGAATAACGAATTAATTCAGCCCTAGGTAAAAAAAACAATTCGAAAAGAGTATCTATTAACAATACTATTAATCATTTATATAATTCAATTGATTTCGATTAGTGTCTGTAGGAATATCTCAATCTGATAATTTTTTAGTACAAATTTTAATGAGATACTCTGTCGTTTTCGCTTTATTTTTGGTTTGATTGAGTGATGGAAAATGGAGTAATAGAAATGTGCCTTGAAATATTGGATTACAATGAAAATTAAATTTTAAATCCTCTTGATATTGATGAACCTATTGCATTAGTGAAAATATATTCACAGAATTAAATCTAAATAAATTAAATAATTATATCATAAATCTATATAGTTATTAATTATATTAGTTAATAAATATTGTATAGACATTAATATCATTAATGTTTACATATTCAAGAAAATTTTTTACTCAATATTTCTTAGAAGACTTTAAATACTGTGTAATTTACAATTTTCAAAAAATGTATCGTTCATGTTGAAATCTGAATTTAAATCTTATACTTTGAATTAATCAATTTTTCAATCACTTTATTCAATTGATAATTTGTCGTATATGACTATTGGATAGAATATCAAGTCTTTTAAGATACCATAACGATATGTTTAGCGTTTTAAGTCACATATCAGTCTTAATATTAACTTACGTTCCTACCTGCGAACCGGCAGCGGGTTTGACAATCCACGTGGTTCCATGCTTCTTTCGATGCTCCTCCATTAGCATCCAATATTCGTGCGGTAATTCAAAGGAAATGGGCATGGCATCGCAAAACTCAGCTTCCCTTATCTTTCCTGCTTTTATTAACATTCTTTTGTAACGCTTCAGATTTCGATACAAATAGTTTTTACGTGTGAGTTCACTGTGATTGCGGAAATGTGAAACCCTCTGTTGCGGTTTGATTTTACCATCTAGAGCAAACTTTAAGTCGCTTGTATCACACCACCAAAGATCCCAGGTTGTATCTTGATAGTCATAGATCTAAACAAACAGATTTTCGTAATAAAATATACAATCAATTACATATATTATAATTAATTCGTTTAGATTTGTATATCCGAAGAAATTATTTACTTTAATTGTTAATTAAATTATTAATTTAAGATATTAATTAAATCATTTCATTGCATTATATTCCCAAATTTTAATACAAAAGAATCAATGTACTATTATATAAATTATATTATAATTTTATTTAATTTAATATAAAAATAAGAAATATTTAATATTAATCGCGATGTGACCAAAAGATAGTGGACAAATGAATTAAAAATATAAAAAATTTAAATAATTTTTTATTTTAATTATACTTAAATCAATGATTCTAAACATAAAAATAAAAGAAATTCCGTATAAATTACATGATATTACGATGTTGTATTTTTACAATACATAAAATCAAACTTATTTTATGTATACCATTTTAAATTTCACGTTACAAGAATTTGATAGAATATTGAAAATGAATCGATTTATTTATATGAATTTTGATTGATAAAAAATTTCGTTTCTATAAACATTAGAAATACTATTCTAACATCAAGTCTCTATATTTTTCTATATTCTTTTAACGTACGTAGTATTCGATTACTCATTATTCTCATCAGAGTTCAAATACATAAAATTAGCTAGAGTTAGAAGTTACCCGCTTCCATCCTCTAGCTTCCAATACTTTCAACGCAGTTGAAGAATAGTCACAACGATATTTTATTGATTTGTCACTTCTTCCTTTTTTTTTAATCAGCTTCGTGGATTGTTTATTCATTTTATATATAGAAATATTTTTTTTTTTTAATAACAATAATGATTTTTTGTACATAACAGTTAAGTCGAAAAATAAACGTAGGTTATATTAATTTGCCTATGTACTCATCTATAACAAAACAATGACTAATGGCTAAGTTTGATATGTATAGGACAGTCTTAATGGAAAAAGTATTTTGTAAAGTACAAAATGAAAAGTTGATATATTTTTTAAATATGATTATTTGTAATTGTTTGGATTAAGATATGGTAACATTATTTCAAAGTTTAATTTACCAATTATTTTAATATTTTAAATATAATGGGAAATAATCAGTTTGTTGATTATTTTCGTAAAAACATTCTTTTTAATCATTCCTAATTTTAGAATGGTAGGAAAAATAATTTACTTATTAATTATTTGAAACAATTTGTTCTAAATTATAGAAAAATTAAAAATTTTACGTATTATGAAATTCACATTTTACATAATTATTCATATATAGAATTTATTTTTCTAGTGATTTTATGTATCATATACCATTTGATTAATAAATTATTGATTAATACATAATTAATAATGATTTCAAAAAAATTTTTATATTTTGTTTTTCCATTACTTAATACATAAAAATACTGTAATATACAAAATTAGGTATTGTTTATAAAAACTTGTTATAATGTATTGAGAAGTGATTGATTTTGTTAAAATTAAAATTATGAATAAAACAATGACAACCTATTGTGTTAAAACATAAAATTTATATTTTATATGAGGATTATTTGTTAGAAAAATGATAATCATTATTGCAGAAGATAAAGGGAAATTATTATTTAATATATTTTAAATTAAATTAAAAAAATAAAATTAAAAATTAAATAATCACGAATTATTAAGTTTGGTTTAATATACTACATTATTTTAAAAACTTTTTTATTTAAAGAAGAGTCTGTGAAAAATAGCTATAAAATATATATTTATATGAAATTTTTTGTTATTCTTTTTTTTTAGTGGCTTTTAAAATACGGAAAAGTAAAATTAATCAAAATTGAATTAATTTAGTAATAAAATTTGTTTTTCAGTCCTATTATAAACAACAAACAATATTATTATAAGAATAAAGTATAAGATATTAATAATTAATAAGTATAAGATATTAAAATTAAGTAATTTATTCATTACAGTCTATTTTTTGAAATTATGCACTTGGCACATTGGTAATTTATACTACTATATATCTTGAAACCGAAAAGTGTTTTAATAATCTACTAATGTATATGAATGAATGTGTTATACTTACTATAGTTATATTAATATAATTTTTCATATATTTTTCTATTATATTACAAAAATAAATCTACATCATAAATATAGACTAATGATGAAACGTATATATTAAGTGGGTTTCATCAATTTCTTCCGAATTGACTTTTTATTAAAAAAACCAGAATGCAAGATCGAAAAAGAATAGTCTTTTTCGTTCTTTAATATCAAACATAACCTTTAATATGAAAAGTGGACTATCAAAATGTAGAGTACATACATTTTGATAAATTTTTATTTTTACTTTTCTTGTATTATGATAACTGTTAAAAATGCGTAAAACGATTGATAGTAGTAAACTAAAATTTACATTACCTGGTATTCGTACAGTCTAGTAATTTGATAAAAATATTGTATTTCAAGTAATACTTTGTAATAATATTTTATTTATTTTTAGTATATAATTTACCAATCTCAATTTTATTAATTATTGCTACATCTTTATGTTTTTCAAATTCGTATAATGGAAATTTTGTATTTGATGATTCAGAAGCAATTATAAATAATAAAGATGTTCAAGAAACACCACTTTATGAATTATTTGAAAATGATTTTTGGGGAACTAAATTATCTCATAAGCAAAGTCATAAATCATATAGACCTTTAACGATTTTATCATTTAGGTATATAAAGAAAGTTAATGTGACATAGAATTTTTATTTTTTTCTTCATTGTTCAAATAATAATGATATTATTTTTAGATTACATTATTGGTTTAAAGGATACTTGGATCCAGTAGACTTTCATATTGTAAATATAGTATTACACACAATAGTTTGTATCACAACACTATTTGTATTTGAAATTCTTATGGATTGGAAAGAACCACAAATATCATTTTATGCAACAATATTATTTTCTGTTCACCCTATCCATACTGAAGCTGTATGTATAATATGATATAAAAATTAAAAATTTTTTTATTCATTTTATTAAGTCAATTATTACATAATTTTGTACTTTATTTGTAGATTTCAGGTATTGTAGGTAGAGCAGATGTTTTATGTGGTTTATTTATGTGGTTGTCAATACTTTCTTATTACAAATGTATTCATTGTAAATCATATATTATTCAATATATTTACATATTATTATGTATTGCTAATGGTGCAATAGCAATGTTGTGCAAAGAGACTGGAATAACAATTCTTGTAAATAATTAATTTCATTAATTCTATGAATATATTATATTCAAACTTTTTTTTTAAATAAAGGTTCATTACAATATTTTTAGGCCATCTGTATAGTTTATGATTTTATAATTGTAAATAAAATTTTGCCTGCGAACTTATTAAACATCATAAAACTAAAATACTCATATAAAAATATAAAAGAATTAGTAGTATACAGATTGCGATTTGTAGTACGTTGTATGATTTTATTGCTGAGTAGTATTTTACTTGTATTTCTACGATTTAATGTCATGGAATTTTCTAAACCAACTTTCAAACCAGTAGATAATCCAGCATCGTTTTTAGATAATATCTTTTTTCGAATTATAAATTATAATTATATTTATTTTTTAAATTTATGGTTACTTATTTGTCCTGAATGGCTATGTTTTGACTGGTCTATGGGTTGTATACCACTTATTTATGGAGCAGATTTCAGAATTAGTTTAGTAATACTGTTGTGGTTTATTCTTGCTGCGTATATAATAATAATATTTTCTGAAATTAATTATCATATAAATAGGTATATTATATTTAATATGAATATTTATAAGATTGAATTATTTACTGTAACTATACAAATAACTATTTAGCTATAATACTTTTATAGATGCACTACAATAGGAATGGCTATATTAGTAATTCCTTTTCTACCAGCTAGTAATATATTTTTTACAGTTGGATTTGTATTAGCAGAAAGAACTTTGTATATTCCTTCGGCTGGCTATTGTTTATTACTGACTATAGGAGTTAAAAAACTTTGTGTAAATGTTACATATCCAAAAATAATCTCAATATCATATTATACATTAATAATTTTACTATTTACTCGTTCATGGATTCGATCTGAGGAATGGAAAACAGAAACTGCACTTTTTCAATCTGGACTAAAGATATGTCCTTTAAATGCAAAAATTCATTATAATGTTGGTAAAAATGCTGCGGACAGAAAAATGATTCATTATGCTAAATTTGAATATCAAGAAGCAATTAAGTAAGTTATATTTTTTGTCTGTGTATACAATTTGAAATCATGTAATTTAAAATTTATAAATTTATTTAATATTTATTAGTAATATATTAATGATTGTTATAGTTATCTACAAAATATTATTTTTCAGCCTAAATCCTAATTATGCTCAGGCTATGAATAATTTAGGGAATTTATATAGAGATGAAAATGCATATGACAAAGCTGAACAACTTTTAAGAAAAGCTGTTAATCTCCAGTGAGTTATAAAATATGTTAAATGTATACTTATGGTTATAAATAATAAAAAATTTTAATTTTAGAAATGATTTTTCAACAGCATGGATGAATTTAGGAATAGTACTCTCAGCAACTAATAAATATGAAGAAGCTGAGAAATGTTATTTTATTGCTATATCACACAGAACTACTTATCCTGATTGCTATTACAATTTAGGTCTTTTGGTAAGATTTTATTAATTTCATTAATGAAAAGAATTAGAAATTATATTTCTTAAAAGAAAATTTTGATATAACAGTTTTAAAAAGATATGGATTTTTATTATAGTACTTAGAAAAGCAGGAATATCAAAAAGCATTAAAAGTTTGGAAAATTGCTGTTAAACAAAAACCCACTCATGAACAGGCATGGACAAATATGATTTTATTATTTGATAATATTAGGAAAAGTGAAAAAGCCTTACAAACAGCAATGCAAGCTCTACTTTACCTTCCACAATCCTCATCCATTCATTTTAATTTAGGAAATATATTAGGAAAGAAAGAAAATTTTCATGATGCTGAGTATCATTTTCAGTTGGCAATCAATGAAGATCCAACAAATTCTATCTATTATACGAATTTAGGTAATTTTTATCACTATAAAATATTAAATTAAAAATTATATAAATAACTTCAAATATAAAAAAATTACTTTCAGGAGTTCTATATCATCGATGGAATAAATATGACAAAGCTGAAGCTATGTATAAAAAGGGATTAATGTTAAATCCACAATCAAATGCTATTAAAGGAAATTTACAAAAATTACACAATTTAAAAAATAGAAAAACAAAAATTTAAACATTTACAATATATTATAAATTTATATAATATAAAAATAAATGTATGATAAAAATGTAAATGCTATAAAATAAAGTTTGAAAATTTCTTAGTAAAAATAATTTAGTGATACTGTAATCACTTTTTAAGTATGAAATAAAATGATTTATTTTTAAAAAAGGAAGAAAGCTATAATTCAGATATGTAAGTCACATTATAACTGAATTTAATAAACAAATTAATTTAGAAAATATAATTAAAAAATATATTGAAAGGTAGGAAAAATGTTGATTCATGTATAAATGTATGCTTATTTTATTATATAGTTATTAAAATAACACATATTTAAATATCTTGAATTTTTTATCAAAAAATAAAATTTATTAATTGTATTATTAAAATTATAATTTTCTTATGGATTGAAACTTATAAATTAAATAATATATATTTATTTTTGAATATGTATAAAAGTATTTGAATCTAAATTATATTATTCTACTATAATAATGTATGTAAATTGAAATTATGTAAATATGATATATTAATGATAAATACAAAATACAAAATCATAAATAAAAGAGTTATAATATAAATTCTCAAGAAGTTTCCATTTGTGAAACCTTTGCTTCTCTTGGTGTAACTAATGTTTCTAATTGAGATGTTTCAGACTGACATTTGTATATCGGTGATTTGTTACAATCATGTCTTGATTTTGCAAGAAAGCTTAAGTTTGTTTCTAATAAATCACTGTCAAATGGATATGGATAAGCTTTGAAAGATCCAATTTTTTTACCTCTGATATAATTGTAGGACTTAAAGCAGGAATCACAAAATAAACAAGGATTATGTGGCAATCTATTGTTACTTGTTGTGACCCAATTAACACTGTAAATACCACAAGTCATACAATAACGATTAGGCCTTGGTTTAATTCTGACAATTCTTGGGTAACATTCTATATTTAATTCATCTGTTGGATTTACTAACCTATTGAGAACAATTTTTAACAATATTTAATATTATTATGTATGTTTTTTATAAATATTTTCAACAAATAAATTATCTGTTCTTATTAAAAAAAACATTAAAAAGTTATAATAAATAAATATATTAAATTTTTAATAAAATTATATTTTAAAGAACTAAACCATTTGTGGTTGATATATTTAAAACTATATACAAACTGATAATAATGCTATTTCCAATCTAGCCGTGATAGAAATTGAAATACTTTTAATATTTTAATATCTAATTATATTTTGTATAGTATACAAAAATTATGTGTAAGCTTAATTAATCAAGTAAAATTATACATTACTAAAGCAATATTTGTTTACATGTAATCAGCTACATAATTGATATAAAATGTATAATTTATGTTAATTTATAAAACAATTTTTTTAAATAATTTAAAAATTTACCTAGCATTACTAAAAGAAATTAAATGTTCACAGTCACCCTGATGTTGGTATACCCATGGAAATCCAAACTTTAAACATAGGCTATCAACTCTAGTTTCTTCCATTTTTGCAGTCTTATAAATACCAAATTTTCGTGCTTCTGCCCATTCTCGAATGACTTTACTATTATCTTTATTGTTAGGATCACGAAAATCAATATAGAATTTATCTTCAATAAAGAAAAATCCTGATTTGTAAACATTCTAAAAAATCAATATATAAAAATCTGTTTGCTAGATATTATTAAAAATCTAATGTACATGAATGCATTAAATATTTATCAATCAATTTATTTATAATTAAACTATAAGTGATTATATTTATAATTTTAATTAAAACATTTGAAATAATATTTAAATAGCATAAATATTTTAAGAATATTTATAGGATTATACAAATCTTAGAAAAGAACACAACAGTAAAGTGAATAAAAAATCATGTTAATCGTGTATGAAAAAAATTTGGAGTATATTATTATATCTAATTTTGAAGTTAATATGATAATTGGTAATTGTTCAATTTAAAATATATAACTAAATTTAATCAACTATTTAAATATAACTATCTAATACGTATGACATGTGCTTTTTATATGAATTCGTATTAGATATTTATGTAAGTTATAAGAATAAATAAAATATGCAATAAATATATTATTTCATTCTAAAACTTAATTTATGCTTTTATTTAACAATTATGTATTAAATTATGTATTACAAATGATTTTTTGTAAATTAATAGCGCACCTTCGCATTTTCAGTTTTACATCTAAGTGGTACTTTACTGGTTTCTGTTGATATTGAATGATCCGATACACAACTTATTTGATCTCTGAGTTTATCTAAGGTTTGGGATCCATGCATAACTATAACAGTATTAACTGAAAGTTTTCCTAGTGCTCCAGTAGTTTGCTTTTGTCTACTTGTAAATGGCACGTAAACTCTAATAAATATTAAAATATCATTTTCTGGTGTCAGAGTTTTAACATTATTTTTATTTAAATCTGGTTCATAAATCTAAAATGTAAAATATTTTAATCCATTTTAAGCAATTTTTGGAATATTAACATATCGAAAGATAAATAAATAAAAAAATTGAAGACTCAATTATTTTTTGATATATTGCAAAGATTTGAAGATTACATTTATAAATGCAATTGCTATATAAAACAATATTCAACTAATTAAATACTGTCGTAATATTTAATATTATTTTTAATTAGGAATAATATGAATATATTTAAAACTATGGAATATAAATAAACGGAACTTACAATAGGTTTTTCACTTCTATATTTTAAATGTACTTGATAATTTTTAAGTAAATTCCTCTGTTTTGTATACTTAACAGTTTGTAATTGTACATTATCAATAATTGATGGATCGACTGGATCTTTACACCATTCAAATGAAGATTTACTCATTTTTCCCAATTCACCATCTACTGTTAAATTGTTAATATCACAATATTTTTCAAGCAACTTATATTTTTCATCATTTATATCACTGTTGATAGCTTTATAAATATAATTTTTAGTCTTAAATTCATAATGTTTGTGAAAATATGAGTTGTCAATTATACTTCTATATTCTTTGAAATAAGAAGCGATATCAATGACATCAGATCCTTTGTATACATGGTCATACATTCCATGTTTTTCATTTTCTTTTGACATTGCTAATTTCTTTTATAATTATGTATTGATGAAAGCAGAAAAAAATAAAATATGAAATAATTATAAAAGAGAACATAAACAACAGAATAATTTTTAGGTTATAAATTTACTTTAGACTAATATATATAATTAAGTTGTAACTGATAAGCTGTTTACCCATCAGTTTATATACAAAGTACATGAATATGCTTTATGCGCGACTGAATGATAATGATATTTATTAAAGATTTTTGTTTCTTGAAAATACAAGCAATTAGAACAATATAATAATAGCATGTTATACAAAGTAGTATAGTATGTATCGTTATTAGTGATATATTATTTTATTGAGAATTTATTAAAATATTAAATACTACATATAAAATTTATAAAGATAAAAATATTTAATTAATGTATTTGTAAATTATGAGTTATAATCTAAACGTAACATAAATCAATTTTTTAAATATATTTTTGCGTACAAACAATAATGTGTTTTTATAATAACTTTAATATGCGACAATCACATAGTATACTAATATATTATTTATAATTACTGTTATATAATATTTTTTTAATATTTCATTCGAATAAATATTACCAATATATTCAATTTTCGTATATTTAATGATTTCACAACTTAATTTATTTTATCTTTGTGTGTGGGTATGTAAACATGGGTAAATATAGGCGCACACGATATGCATACCCGTATAAAGCCAACCATATATGCATTTATATCTATATTTATACAATTTTCAAATTTATATAGACACAGTTAATTTAAGCTTAAATGAAGTTGTTAAATTAATAATCTAGAAAATTGATTAATTGAAAACATTAATTCAAATAGAAAGTTTAAATAAATAATGAGTAAATTCTTTTAAGTTTATTATATATGCATATAAAAAATATAGCAGTTTAATGTTGATATATTAATATATTAGTATGGGTATACAATAAAGTATGTATATATATATACACATGTATGTATATATTCAATTTCTATAAAAATCTGTTATATTCTAAGAGTAATAAAGACAAATTTATTTTATCTGCTTATATGCACGTATTTCAATATAAGTATGATGAATATTATCATTAATATTATTTTTTGTCATTTGCTATAATTGGGATTTGGTTTTATTAATGCTAATGAAAAAGAATAAGTTTAGTTTTCGATTAAAGGTGTAACGAATTAGTTTACTTTCTTATCAATGATTGTTTATTTAAAAATAAAAATTTTCACAATATTGGAGACTATACAGTAAGTTATCTTGTATGTATTTAAGAAATCTAAAAGAGTATACAAAAAGCTGTTATAGTGGTATACAGAACATTTATTTATAAAAATAGTATTTAAAATTCACAATTTTAATTCTTATACAAAACGTATTTAGAGTCAATATATATTTTCTGCATTTGTTAAAATGAATGTATTCTAATATGTATCTAATGTACTAAACAATAAAAATTTCACTAATAAGTTTACTAAGAAATTTATTACTTACTATGAAATTTTCGAAATCTAGGAATTGATGTACAATAGTGATTTACTTACGATATCTAGTAATATCTGTGGGATAATATGAGCAAATATTAAATGTATAGAATAATTAAAAAAATGTGAATTAGAATGAAATTTAAGAAGTGACTTAATTATAGCAAATGTATTCTCGATTTTGAGGAAACACTATTAATTTATATATATTCTTTGTAATTAATAAGTACAATTAATTTTGCATAATATTGAAAATATTAAATTAAATCCATTGAAATTTAAATCTATTGATTTTAATATCCTGTTTACTACAAAAGTTTAATATTTTTTTAAGGTTTTTTATTGTCTTACTGTATTTTGTTACAGAGTCGAGATTTTTCAATCGTTTAGATTTAAAATCATTCTTTTTCTAAAGATTAGATATCATAATATAATATCATATGTAATAAAACAAAGGTTGAAAATAGTTTGAGTTCAAAATTACATTTTATTGTTGTCTTTGTATGGACTAGTATAGTATTACCATATACACATTCAATAGCTCGCTTATTAATTAATCGTAACTTATAATACATTCACAAACATTGATAAAGATAGTCATGATATTTTTTTTCTTTGTAGCCTGCTTTGGGTCATGACTTCGAAACGACCAACACAAGCATTATTGTTAATGCATAAGTTCGCACACATACACACACAGACCCACACACACAGGAGCGCGCGCATACACACACATGTGTGTATTTGAAAAATTTTGAAATATTCTCTTTGCAAATTCTGTTTATGGCTACATAGGTCTCTCATATTCGTAATTTTTTATTTACGTTTGTTTCCATTTTTAATATTTAATTCCTCGCATGCTCGAATTACATATATATGTTTGTGTCCTCTTAAGAACATGTGCACATATGCGTATTAATGTGCGTTTTCCAATCGTTAATTTAATATAAAAAGCTCTGGATTATTACATATTTCATTAATTTTTGCTTTGTTTATTTTTTCCACTTTTGTATATATGTATATTTGAATATAGTTAACTTTTTAAATACAAAATATTAAATAATTAATTTATGCATTCTCAGATTTTCAATATTCTTTTTTATTTTTTCAAAACAATTTGATACTTTGAAAATTTTTCCCAATCGTACAACTCGCTTTGCAATTTTTTATTACGATTTTCCATTATACATGTTTCTTATTTTAGTTTTGTTAGTAGTAATTATATGATCGAACCGTATTAAGTTTTATTCTTAACTACTAAAGTTACATATTGGGAATATTTAATAAAAGTCTACACGAAAATTATGTAACTGCGCACGTTAGGAGCGATTCATGATAATTTTAATGCTCTGTTCATTAGTGTTCGTAATTAAATGCAACTGTGCAACCCTCAAGGAAGAATTTTAATAAAGGAATGTTCATACATGAATCTCACATTATTGTTATTGTCATGTAAAAGAAGATCTTTTAAATAATGATATTTATTAACAACGTACAAAAGGAACTACATAAAATGGTATGTAATACACGAACCTTTCATAAAGTATGATTTGTGTCAAAGTAGTTCCGCATTAAAATTATTCGGTAATATTGATAAATCCGAAGATTAATAAAATAATAAACGATCCAATCGTTTAATTGTAATGGGATATGCATGCATTTGATTTGAATAGCCGGGTCTTCCAATTTATTATTTTAATCATCTAATATAAATATATACGTCTTTGCTTTCACTTTATATGAATGAGTGATAAAATTTTATGAATTCTGATTTAAGAGGACACAATTTATAAAAATAGCGAAAAATAGTATTCTGATTCGGTTAAATAATAGTACTCATACTTCTGTGATAAAATTAATAAAATCAATTTTTTATAGACTTTATATATTTTCTTATGCTTATTTAAATAATTACATTAAGAAATGGTCTTGAAAATTTAAAAATACTGTTCATAAATCAATGTGAAGAAGCGGAAAAATTGTTAAAAAAATTTTTTTTAAAGAATTAGCATTACCTAAATTCATTGAAAGCAATAAAATAACGATCCCTATTATTTCATTACTATTATAATTAACAAATATCGATTTTTGTTAAATCAGTCAGAGTTTTGCGAGTATTTTCTGTTATACCTTTCTCCCCCTCCCCATTCCTGCATTCATCCTAATTTTAATAATAGTACCTCAGCATGTTCTCGTAATTCTTAGTATTTAATGACTAGATAAGATTTCTACTTTCATTCTATCAATTTCAGCCACCCCTAAAACCGTACATCATGATGCTTGATCCCATTATAACGCCTTACATAGCAATTGCTGTAATCTTCGATGAAGTAAAAAATTACTTTCAATGCCAATGTCCATCGAGCGAGTTACGGATAAATACAATTTTTTACACTATGGCCATGACTTCCTTTGTATATTTTCACACGCTTATATACATGCATATATACGTATGTATATATGCATAGATACATCGTACCAAGTGCAAAGGAGCTAAAAGACATTCTTGTTAATAAATCTATTTTAATAATTTATGTTCGTCAATTAAAGGTAATTTAACTTCCAGTATATTTTGCAAAATTGTACTTTATAGGTATATAGACGTCCGTTGTTTCTTTCGTGTTCTATTAGAAAGTATACATTGTAAATAATACATTATTTCTTTTATTGAAATTAATCATAATTAGCTTGTATTAATTTTTGCTCATAATGGAATTAACACATTTTTTACAAATCTACAAATTGCCCTAAATATATTTTTGTACGGGTTGAATCAGCTTAAAAAATTTATTGAAGATGAAAAAAAAATAGTATACGCACTTCGATAAAATACTATAATAATGCTACAAATTAAAATTTATAAGAAAATATATATTTTTCAATGATTCGATTTTATAACGCATTAATTTTGTTTGATATGCAAATAGCTGAGTATGCGATCTTCTATTTGATCTTTTCTTTCATTCCTTCCATATATTCACTTTATTTAGTTAGTTAGTTTAGAAGTTACTTTACATAAATTAAAGGATAAAAAAATAATATGAGTGAAATGAACAATAAAACATTCTTTTATCTCTATAATATAAATCTTAATCAACACAAACTATATATATATATATAGTTTATAATTTTATTACTTTTCGAAATTCTAGAATTTTCACATTTTTGAAACATAAATTTAAATTAAGCTTGTATTTTTATATTTTTTAGTATTGTAATAAAAATACAAGATAAGTTTTACTGACAGTTAAATATCAATAATTATTAAAATATTTAAATTCGATATTTTTCTTATAAACATTCTATTGCCAATAAAATGTAATATTCTACAAAATAATTCTAGTCTTTGAAATATGTATAGTGATTTTTCAATTTTAAAATTTATTATTTATAGCTTTTTCTCTATATTTCTCACTGTTTTGTGCACGTATTCTTTGTGATATCTACGTATTTCATTCTTCTCAATGTGAATAATTTTCTAATTCTATGGTAACTTTTATAATTAAAAACATTTTAATCTTTAAAACTATTAGTTAATTAAATCAAGGAATTATTTAAAAATAAACGTAACATCGACTGATCAAAAAGATAATAGACCATTAAGAATTATCAGTTTTTAACAGAAAGATTGATAATGCAATCGCTAAAAGAAAATATTATAGATAGTAGCTAAATGTGCTTAGCACAAATCGATTTCTATACAAATGATTGTTAAAAATTAAAAAAAATAAACAAAACAAAATGAGTACTATATCTTTTTCATTACACAAGATAAGTTTATATCTCGATGTACTTTGGCATCGAAAAATTTTTAACAATACAGCAACGCTTCACTTTCTTTCTAAATGTTTTATCTCGCAGTAATTTTTTATTTTTCCCCTTTTACTCATTAATTCTCCTTGCAGTACTTAGTTTTATATTTTTTATTTAATTTTTGGTATTTCTTCATATTTGAAGCGGAATAGCTCAATATTTGAAAAGTTGTCAGCAAAAATATATAAAATTTGGATATGGTATCTTATTAAAAAGATACAGACGAGAGTGTCGGCGGCTCCTAAGCAATGGATTATTACGTGTTCGATTTTTCTCTTTTGTATTTATTCTCTCTGTATGTTTTTACGTACATGAAATTCCATAATACTCATTCCGTCCCTTCATAAATCTCGTGATTATTGCGCGAAGGAATTCGTGTAACAATATACAATTTGAGAATAAATGATTAATAAAGGTTGGCGCAATGCACACTTTAATATTCTTAGGGATTTTATTATCATATGAATATTTTCTAATTTTTCGCAAAGCTTGTTTACATTCAATCGAAATACTTTTTCTTTTATTTTGTTTTTTGAGCTATCAACAATAACGTTATAAAGACTTTGCTCTTTCATATAGATTTAAAATGTAAAGTATTTAATTTAATAAAAAGAGCTATAGTTTATATTAATGTTAGCAATTTGTGTTATAATATCTAGATATTCTCTAAAAATTTGAGTTTGAGATTTTGTTATATAAAGAATGACTAAAATTATCTCTTCGGAGCTAAGAACTTTACTTATTTTATAATGTATTAGCTTATAAAAATGATTTTGCTTATAATAAAGTGCGAGTAGTAAAATTAAAAATAAAACACATAGAGAAACAGCTTAGGTTAAATGTGCATTTCGCCGATCTTCTTTACATACACGTATTCGATATACAATCACATTTCAATGTGCAATAATAGTGACAATCGCGGTGAGTCTTTCATATCTATTAGTACATATTAATATTAGTACAAATTAATTAGAGAAATTTTTAAATTTTATGATCATGTATCGCTTAACCAGTTATATAGTTATTATTCTTATTTTTATTCCTTGGCCCTGTTTATGCGATGTGCTCAAATTTCACAGATAAGGGATATCTGATTGACCAATAAAGAATATAATTCAAGTAAGTGATAAACAAATGCGATCGGGGAATCCCGTTATTATTATGCAACGATACTAGCGTCGAGTATTGTATATGCCTTTTCTCTTAGTTTGTTTCTAACTTATTCTTAATTAACGCTTATATTAATATACAATTCCAGCTTCACTCTAAACAATAGTTAAGAGATTTGTGCTAATTATAATTGTGTGCATATTTATTTTTGCTTCATTTATCTTTGATCATCTTTAGTGTAAACATAATATATGATCACTCATAATTTCTCTGGCATTGTTAATACCGAAAGTATTTGAATCTTTTTTTTTTAGTGTAGGTGTATTCACTTGTATGTATATTTTTATATTTATGTGTATTTTTGTCTTCGTTAATGCAATTTTTTCGTATCGATGATTTATATTAAATTTCTTTTTTCATTTAATTTTAGAAATTTGTAAAGTACCTTTGCAATGCCTATTTTATGTGATATAAGCAATAAATTCCTTTCACAATATTTGAAACTAATAAAAATTCAAACTTTTTCGAATTCAAGGTTAATCGTTGCCTTTACAAAAGCTATTTTTTTTTATTTATATTACGATTCGATTAAACTTTTAAACGATATGCTAAATCACAATTTACATCTGGAAGTTCTAATTATGTAAAGCTATCAAATGCTTATTTTAAACATAGACTGTGGTTTTCTTTTTAATGTTTAGGCAGCAAATTGTATGAAAATATTATTAACTTTGCTGCACCCCTTTAGATTGAGTGCTTAATGAATTTTTCTACGTAACTTTCTGAAAGGTAAGCAATCTCCTAGATTCAAAATATCAACTATCCATTGCGCTAACCCATTCGCAAAAAAGAACTATTTTCTAGAAAATTCTTAAAATAATTTCCTTACATCTGATAAACTCGAGATTTCCAAATAGAATAAATATAAATATAAAATGAGTGTGAAAGAATGCCAGTACTCGATCAACTATTTTATATTATAATAATAGTAATAATAATAATGCCTAGTTGAAAATTGCTCTGTTGCACTTCGCAAGTCCACACAGTGGATCGCGAAAATTATATTTTTTAAATTATGTAGAATCGCACCTTTATATATTTTTGTTTCATAATACACTTCGTGCGTACAGCGAGTCCGATGATTAGGTTAATTGCTTTTGGTAGTGTAGCGCTCGTGGTATTGTCTAATCACTGTCAATATAACGGTCAAAGCTCTACCGAACGTATTATTTATATGTACACTGGTGATTCTTGACCGGTTAACAGCCTAAACATTGACGTTGGCATAGTCTTCATAAGAATCTACAATATAATGATAATTATTATAGATATATATAACTTACTTTGAGAAGCTTACTTTAACAATATTTATATGAATTACGTTTAATGTAAATTTTTCATCTTAAAAAGCATTCTACCATTAATGTTATTGGTAGATATATTTGTACAATAATTATAAACTAGTTTAAATGATCTTATTGTTTTACAGTCTAGAAGTTTATTTAAAATGCTTATTACCAGTATTATTCAAATTCATATAGCTGAGTAATAATCTAAGAAGAACTCACCTCCCCTACGGATGTAGCTAATAGATTAACAATCTTCTCGTGTGGTACGGCAACAACGCTTTGATTGTTGATCTCGATGATTCGATGTCCGACACGTACGCCACCCCTTTCGGCGATTCCGCCTCTTAATAAACTACAAATTACACCGTTTTGCACGCTGAAGCCAAGCTGGTATTTGGTATCAGGCCTCTTGATTTTTACCTCGACGACGGGTGCGCAAGGGACAACCGTTAGTTTCACCACAGTCTGGTTCTTCGAATTCTTGATGTAAGTCTGACAAGTGGAGAGTGGTAGACCGACCAACGAGACGCCATTTATCGCTATTATCTGATCGCCGATATTTAGCTGACCACATCGTGCCGCCGCACCTGCTGGTGCTAGATTCGCTATTACCACCGTTGGCAGCATTGAGCCCCATCCGGACTCCACGATCACTACGCCGAGGATCTCGCCCTTTGATTTGGGTACTACCACCTGATGTGTAAGTGAGATTAGGATGTTAATATCTATGGGCGATTTAATGTATTTTTTCTATATAGAAGTTTTACATGTTATAAGTTTCAAAATTTTTATCAATATATATGCATTAGAATATCTTTGGAATTATAAGCTTCATTCTGGTTTTTCCGCTACTACTTTATATTTATATTATATATTTTAATATATATGTAACCTCATTATTTCAAGTATGAAATGATTAATATTTATATAAAATTGATACACAATGTTTGGAGAAAATTTAGACTTTGATATTTGAATAGTAATAAATAAAAAAATTATTCACAAATAGAAATTATGTATTTATGTCCGAGTATAAATAAAATAAATTCCTTAATTTTTTTTTACTATTATTAGTTGCCTAACATATTTAATAATCATTAGAATTTACTTCTGATGAATATATTATTCCATTAAGAAATGTGATAATTATAGACTTATCGCTTCAAGTAAATGTCATATACGATTAATGCTCGCCTCTTTTTGCATCTCCTTTTTGGCGAACATCTGCAGCTCATCACCGAAGATTTCTTGTGAATTGAGAACCTCCTGGTAATCCATTTCCTTAACGAAGCTATGGTCCTCGATACCGTTGGCCTTCAGAAATTCCATATAGGCGACTTGGAAGGCTTGTCCTATGCTTTGAGCAATGAACTGTGCCTCTTCGCTTTCGAATACATGGCATATCATCTTCGGAGTGCGATTTTTCGGTGCTTCGTCTATTTCATGGGGCACAAATCGTCTGCGGGCCATCAGTACCACCAAGTCGCCAATGTCCGCTATATAGGATATGGTGCGCAATGCATGGTCCATCATGATTTCTTTCAAATCCGTGTTCAATACCATAATCTTTTCTGTTGAGATAAAGAGGTCAACCTCTGTGCTCGGTTGAGACTCGCCATCCGGTGCCTACATTTAACGAAAGTTATTTATTTTTATTAATATTTACAATTTCCCGTGGTTCCTTAAAGGAAGAAGTCAGCAAAACGTGGCCTGTTTGTTTTTATTTTTTCTCTTTTATACTTAATTAATATTAGTAGATTTATAGTTTTTGAAACAAGCACCAAAAATAACTATTCAAGCATAAAAGATTTATGCAGTGTTTTACTAACATTTTTAATTAAAAGAAAAATTTATATCAAGTAACAGCTCAATTAAAGTAAACTTTCTAGAATATATACCCAAAATCTTAAAAAATTCCCGTATATACTGGACATTATTTGTGTTTAACATTTATGAAAGTTAATTTGTATGTGTTAGAAAATGAATTCTGTATTAAAATGTACAATGTTTATCATTCTAGTTGAATTGTATTTTGTTTAAATATCGTGCTGTTTATATATAATTTTAAAGTACAGTCAATCAATACATTTAGAAATTGATTGTAAAATAAATATTTGAAATTTGAAATAAATAAATATATTTTATGTTTTATTTTTACACTAACTTGTTTACACTAATTGGTAATTCAATATTTTTATGATTTTATTATTATCGACAAATTATTAATAACTTTTTTTTATGATTTGCTATGATATGATCATCAATTTGCTGTTTTATTCCCTTAAAAAACCTCAACTAGCATGTATAAAAAAGAACTTACCAGAGCCTACACACGCAAGCAGCATGAAAAAGATGAAAAAGGCAATTGGTTAATATTAGCGATGCAAAGAATATTCTTAAAATTACACATTAATATGTTTGGTTAAGATTAGTTATTATGTAGCGATTGGTATTGGTTAATTTTTAAGAGGATTAGCTTTCAAAGGTAACGAAAATTATGTTGGATGGAATGAATAAATGAATGAAACAAGAGACTATAAATGCCAAAAATTAAAAATTTAATCATATACTTTCATGAATAAACGTCATGGTTCTAACCACTAGTCGTTAAAAATTACTCTACAAGATATGTAGAACCTAAAGATATATAAATATGCCAAGTGATTTAATATTAGTTTCGAATTCAAATTAAACTAACTGAAGACTAATATTGCATCGTTATTTAATAAGCTCATAAAACTCAGTCCTTATATTTAAAAATTGACAAAACTTCAAAATCGATAATTATAATTAATAACTTAATAAATAATAATTTCAGGAACTTATTCTTCTGTAATAGCATATAAAAAATTAAACTGTACAAATATTTTCAAATATTGAGATCGTCTAATGCATTAAATGAAATTATATTTCAAAACATGCAATTATCTTATTAAAAAGTAATTATATAAATTATGTAATGATTAAGCAAATATAAGGTTATGTGCAACTATCGCTTTCGCCATAATTTTATTAAAGTAGAAAAATTTTTCTCGTAGAAATATATCAATTTAATCAAAATAATTTACAAATTTATAAATATATTGAATTGAGCTAATTTATCAGTCAATATAAAAATATATACATATCCATATATATGTATGTATGTATGTATGCATGCATTATGTAATTATGTATGTATGTATGTACGTATGTATATATTATTATGTATAATTATATGATTTTATATATAATATATATATAATGATTGCAGTTATATAAATTTAATTATTTATTTGTAGAAATTGTTATTTATTGAAAATATTAGTGTTTTCAGCTGTAACTTAAAATATTCTGCTTATAGAATTTTTTCATACCACCCAAAACGTAATATATTAAGATTATTTAATAAGTTGTTTAATGATTTTTCATTCTTTTTTCTTTCGACAAAATTTTCATTTATCAAATTTTAAGATCAATGCATTGTAAAATTTCTACCTTTTATAATCACTATTAAATCTATGAGTCTGTAAAAACAGTAAAAATACTCAAGAAATGATTTTCCAAAGGAATATACATTTTCATATAATCTTTTTTAAAATTGACAATTTATATGAAGAATGAAACCATTATTCCCAAAATTCAATTGTGCAATCCTTTGAATCTTGATTCCTTGATCAATCGTATGAGAGTTATTAAAATAGAGTAGACAGATAAATAAGTAAGTACACACGCATGTACAGAACGAGTATATAATTTTTTGGCGGTTAATTTTATGGGGGTAGTGTAGTATGGGGATTTTGAAACAATGTTCGTGGAATTAAATGACGTTAGGCCGCGGTTCGAGGCCTGCACCTTTATCTTGGTGACAGCTTCCTCAACCATGTGGTTCTTGAGGCGTTTACGGCGTTTCTTGCCACTTTCCTCATCGATCTCGACCGATCCGAGAAACTGCAACCGGAAGATAGTGGAGTCGGCTGGACTGAGGCCATGCTGCTGAGGATGCATCTTAGACTGGATAACCTGAGGTTCCGTTGCCATCAGCTTTTCGCTAGAATCGCATTCTTGTTCGTCCTGGATGCTTGAGTATTGCGCAATATTTGGCTGAGTCTGTTCGTGTTGCTGCCGTTTTTCCTGATGCTGTTGTTGTTCCTCCTGATACTCCTGGTGCTGCTGTTGGTGGACAACCGTTTTGTTCTGGGACTTAAATGCCACGGATCCGGTCACGCGGAAGGATTTTTAGGCGCAGACTCCGAGACTCGCCGAACACTTTTTTTTCATTAGTGATCCTTTATTATTCGTTTAAACATAAGACTATTAGTCAATGTTTATGAGTTATTTAATATGCTAATAGTTGCGCTCCTTTCTACGAAATAGTCGACGGATCGCGATAATTATAATTAAGAGACGTATAATATACTCCGACGAGTCTCGGTTTTCAAACAAGAGTACAATTTTATAAATGTACCATTTTCGGACATTCAGATAAGAAAGTTTTTTTTACTACATGTATATATAATATAACAACAATACTTCAAGATACAACTTTTTTATAATTAATTAATAAACAAATAAGTAAGTGGATGGGTGGTATTGTGTATGGATTTCTTACTCTCTATCAAGCAATTTTGTGTACGGTTAATCTAGATAATAAACGAGCTTGGATAGAGTGACAACATCAATACTTATAATGGTAACACCGAATTTCAGGAAATAAAATAAATACATAAATACATCATATGTTGTGTGGAAAAGGAAGTGCGGACAGCGATCAAATCTGAATTTATTAAATATAATTGCACATTATGCTACACATTATCACAAGACTACGAAAAATATTATAATTATTTAATTGTACATCGTTAGTTAGTTCTTTATTTATCTTTATTTTCTTATCATTAAGTTTATTATCCGTAAACATCATTATTTTTAATTCACAGTTATGGACTTAGTTTAAGCAGTGTCAGATGTAAATTGTAACTTTACCGTATCTTTCGCTATTAATTACCGTCATTTAAGAGCAAATTTCATAATATTCTAAGTTTATTTTTGTTTAGATTTAATTCATCAAGAGAAAAATTATTATTTTTTTTTCTTAATTACACATTTAAATAAAAGTATTAGTAATATTTTATAATAGATATAGTAAAAATATTTTATCTTTACATTTCTACTACAATGAGTAATAGTTGTGAGATGTACTATGAAATAAAACAGTATTAATAGCATACATGTTGATGTATTCATTTGAGATGCTACATGCCAAGGTATATTTGTTTTTACTATTAAGAAATAAAATATCTTGCAGCATTTTACCCTTTTCATTTTCTAGCAGAGGTTCATAATAATCGTTAACTACTATAAAACGATATCCTATTTATATTTTTCGATTTAAAAAGTTTCCGTTTCTGCAACTATGACAATGTGAATTTATCAAAAGTTGACTGTATCTTTATTAATAGTTTTATTTTAATACAAAGAACATTGCTGCCTAATAGTATATACAAAGCGAATTTTTTCATACGAATGAGTCAAAAATAAGTTATCGAATAAATCATGATTATCACTACTATTTTTCATCTTCGATTCCTTTATTAAAAAACTTATTTTTAGATACTGAAATAAAATGAATACCAGTTATCTTCTAATATATGTGTTTTTGTTAAACTTTTTAGTAAAAGAAAACCCCATCTTAAAATTAAGTTATGGAACATCTGTAATGCTCTAAAAAGAAAAATTCACATGATTTAATGTTTTTATTGGCTTTATTTTTTCATCACCTTAATAAGTAATTTAACGGAAAACTTCAAATAGAAAACCGTATTCCTAACGTATTTAATTCTGAATTACTAATTATTATTTGATTATTATTTGATTATCAAATAAGTTCCGACTTTATACTATTCTTATCATAGTTCTTTAATATAGCTTATTTAAAGTATACTAAATACTTCTTATGTAATGAATATGTAATATCGTTCTTTAATAATTTTATTTAAAGTTCAAAATTCTATGATGAAAAGTTAATTATTTAATTTTTATAATAATTATTATTATGTAAATAATTTTTATGAACTTATATAAGTAAATTGTACATCTCTACAATGAAACGCCAATAAGATTTATTTTTTTAAATTAATTCATTTTTATTTGTGCATTATTTGAATAATTATTCTCTAATCAATTTTATTAATCTTAAAAAATTTGACAAGCCAATGTTAATATTAATAAGCTAATTGTACGTACATTAATAAATATTTATATCATTTTAAAAGTTTTTCACAATATAAATCTTGGATATCCTTGTGATTTAACGCGCTCTATTTTATTTTATTAATTTCTCAGTTCATATCCAAAAATATATATTTTTGATAATTGTGATGTAATTCAATAATAATAATATTCAGATGAAATAAAAAAATCATAGAGAAAAATGTTAAATATCTATTTGAATTAAAACGTCATTAAAATAGTTTAAATTACGAATTTGTGAAGTGACAAATAATATTGATTAACATTTTTATTTTTTAAAGATATTAAGACTTCATAATATTAATTAAGCCACGTCAATTATTAGAAACTAAGTTCTCTACTTTTACAAATACAAATCTATAAATAATGGAAACTTTCGTATATAACTTGTTTACATGTTTTAACGATAATTATAATTAAATAAGTATTTGAAGAATCTGCTAATAAAATGAAAATTTTTAAATATGGAGAATTCATAATTTTATAATTTTAAATAGATAATTAAGTTTTTTTATTCATTATTTCTGATTATTAAAATTTACGATTTATTATAAATTGAATTTATATAAAAAAATTTATATAATTTATATAAAAATTAAATATTTGATATTCTCAAGCTTTTACAACAAAAATTTAGTTTTTAGTTTCGTATCAAACTATCATTATATTTCGTATAAAAATTATAAAATCAATACCATTGAAATATAATATTTAATGATCTCCGAAAATATTTGAATATCTTATTCTGATTTATATATATTAGAGTCTAAGAAACATGTTTCACTGAACAAAAGCAATAAAGACAATCGAGATAATAAATAGTGTATTTCCTAAAGAAATAATAAGAGTGACAATTATAATTTTTTTTTTCCACGAAGTTTTATATATTATTAATATACTTATAGTACTATAAACTTACAGGATTATAGATATACGACCTGCTGATTTATTTTCATTATATTAAAAGTGTATTTTTCTGTTTATTAATTATTGCAAAATAATGTAATATTTATATTAATAATAGTTTATAGAAACTTATCGATAATATTTAGAAATCGCTGGAATGAATCAATAATTGTAAATAGAATCTTATCACGTCCGAAAACACAATCTTGATTATTAAAGTTTATATAAAATATATTTAAATTATAGTATTTCTACAATTCTTATCAATTGTAAAAGTAAATATATATAATAATAGAAATTTTTTGTATCTCATTTAGTTTTATATAAAAAGAATTAATTTATTAAAATTTAGAACTACTCATTTACAGAAAAATTTTCCTAATTACCTTAATATTTATAGTGGATTACTCTTTTTACCCAATATTGTGATTTGTTATGTAATAATAAATATTAATATATAATTAACTATTTTAATAAGGTTTATAAATTCCTTTATCGACAAATTTACTCACTAATTCTTTTATACCTAACAATTCTTTCAAAATGGTAGATACTTAAACTAATATTAACATTCGAATTGCAAATACACAACAACTAATTTCACAAAATTATATATTATATAAAATGTAAACTCATTAAATTCATGGCAAGGCACAATATAATTCAAAATCTACAATAAGTGACAATAAGAAATTTAACAATTACGAATTCAAGTAGTTAGGGTTCACAGGCAGTCAGACAAAATGTTTCGAACACAACTTGTGTATACAAGAAATAATTCAGCATGAAATTATAGTATAGAAAATACAAAGTTTTTGCACATCTATAATATGATAATGAATACAGAGAATATGTAATTAATTGAAAAGTTAATGATTTTCTGAGGGAGAAATTTTGCAATTGAGCTTATATATGAAAAATGAGTAATTTTTGTGCACTAATCATAATATATCAAAAATTTAATTTTTAATCTTTAAGATGCAATATTATAAAGTACATAAAATCAAGTGTTATCGATGTTATAAAATATAATTTTGTTCATATTTAAGCATTTTAAGTTTATTTATATTTATGAATACGATAATAACTATAAGTAAATTGATAAATTTCGAATATAATATGATAGTATGAATCAATTTTATACTGATATATTAGAATCTAAATTCATTATTTCAATAATTTTTTTAATTTTTTAATTTAGAAATATCAATACCACTAATATTGATAATAAATTTGTTGCAATCTGTACTATTAAATTTACTGAAAAATTAACTTTATTTAAATTCAATCTTAAATTTTATTTTTAATCTAAAGATTTCACAAGAAAATTTAAAATTTTCAAGGATTTCTCTTTTTAATAATTGTAATTCGATAAATAATTATACAAGAACTTTTGTAAAGGCCATTTAATATATTTTTTAAATTAAATAAAGCTATAAAAAGTACAAAGGTTACGATGAAACTTGGTTTTATCTCGTTTTATTAATTCATGAATATAAATTTGATTCAAATTGATCAATGTAAGAAAAGATATTAAAAGCAAAGATAAAAAGTGTCATTTTGAATAAAATTTTACAGGATCAATAGTATAAAAATAGGGGGTCAGGAAATAATATTTTATATTTTACCAATATAAATTTAAAGAAATATATTTAACAAAGTGTCTTGAAGGTGAATAATAGTGAGGAGTAGGGAGTCGGTGTCGCTACATTAATATAACATACAGGCTTTTAAAATTGTACGAGCTGGTCGTTTATATTATTCATAGTTTTAAAAGCTTGGAATAATTATTAAGAGACTCTTGGAACAAATTACACTTGTAATAATATTCAAGTGTTTTTTAAATTATATTTTCCATAATTATTCTATAAATTAAGATATGTTTATTCGATGAGTCTCTTACAATTGTTTTAAAACACAAATATCATATTTAAAATTCCATAGTGTCCAAGGAGAGACAAACTTTTAAAAATAACTGTATTAACTAAAATAGGTACTATGATCATTATGTTTAAATTACTATATATATATATATATATATATATGTATATACATATTATATAGTTTATGTAAAAATAATTTAAAATAGTTTATATAATGTTAAAGACTTTTTTGTAGTATCATTTTTTCCCACAAATATACTTTTTTATCTAGATCTTCTTTTCTATATTATGATTATTAAAAATATTTACTCCATTCATTAATTACATAATAAAAAAAAAACAAACATACCAACGTGTTTTAATTCTTACTTGATGCATTTAAAAATTATACTCCTTTATATATTTATAAATTAATGGTCAAATAATAATTAGTTGCATATTATGAGAACGGTACATAAAAAAGTGACACTGTTAGGAAATAAATTACTAAAGCAAACAAAACAATATATAAATGAGTAGAAATTCAGTACACTTGTCATTTAGTTACAGTATTATAAATGATTTTTACTATTATTCATTTTTGTACTTTTAATATGCCAGATTAAATTGAGTTTATATATGCCTGATATTATTCATAGTCCAAGCATTACAAGAAATTGTTAATAGTCCATCAAGTGTTGATAATAGTGCAATTTTATTTCACATTATTGAATTCTTGAATAATGAAATAATAAATAAATCACTTGTCGATGAAGTTTCTAAATTTAATATACAATTATTTTGAATCCAGATATAATAAAATTTTACGTTTGTTGTATTTACTGTAATAGTAAACATTAATTTAAATTTAACTGACATCATTTATTAATATTGATAGGAGAGGAACTGAAATACTTTGCATATTTACGTAATTCTCTAACCTAGTTATATTTTAAAAGAATTTATTATACATGATTTTATAAGAAAATCTTTCTCAATAATATATTCGATATATTAAAAATATACAATTTCACTGCATTTGTAATATAAGGATAGAAAATAGATTTTTCACATAAATCCTTAATTTCGATTTTATCAATTATTTAAAGTAACGTTCTATGTGACGAATTTAAAAGTTAAATATACAATTACAAGTTTTTTGTTCCAAAAAGCATGTAACGTTATCAAAAACAATTAAGTACATATTAAGTATTTCCGAATGAACTATAACGTTATATAAATAGTGATATTTAATATATATATATGATTTAATATATATTGATATAATTCAAATTTTTAATTATAAATGATAATCATAAAATAATAGGAGTATTTAGTTTGAACAAACTGTAATATGAATCAAAAAGACTACGAAGGCATTTGAAGCGATTAAACACGTGTACTCAATCCGTTTTTATCGTCTCGGCTATAAATTCAATAACATTACTCAACTCTTAACAATGCAGACTTAATAACAAGCATTTTTTCAAATATATCAGACGTTCAATGTCATTGATTGAGAGCCTCATAATCAGCACTTGAAGTATAAAAGTAGAACGCATTTGTCTCCCCTCGTGTAGCTCATCAATAAATAAAAAAGTAAATGAAAAATGAAGGATTTTAAGTACATCGAAGCCTTTATACCTTTATTCGGGAGACCGCCTCTTCCGCCTGGCACATTCTCGTAGATTTGGTCGGCTGGCCCTCGCAAGCGAGCTGCGTGGAGCCAAGATACCTCGCTCGAAACAATACTCCCTCAATAAGGACTGTCGGATCATCGAGGAGGACTGAAATTGTCAAGGACACGTGCCATTTAGCCTCGAACTCGATTAGAGAGGCGCTTGTTAGCTCGCCGAAGACCGCAAGGTAATCAACCCCCCGGAAAGGGGTCGCATCGCCGTTCCGTTACTCAAATCACTACCCGATTTCTGGATTACCAACAGCACATTTTCTTTGAGAGCCATCGTGGTTTTGGACTTTCAGGATTTTTTAAATCGTCCCAGACCATGAATTATTTACCTGAGTATTATCGTCACTTTCATTATTATTTTATGGGCATTTTATTATTTTATATCGGAACTTCATTAATTTTACAGTCTTAATTTCATGTATGTGAACTATTATAAAGCATCTTTAAAACTTTTTTCAAATAATACATTCAATTTAATCGACGACACTCGCAATGATTTTCACGAACTTTTGACTTTAGTTGCCGGAATAAAAGTGAATCAAACCTTTTTGTAAATAGAATACATTATTTAAAATAGTTGAAACCACTTTTTGCCTTTATTATTAAAGAGCGTTAAATATCGTAATACAATTGTATACAACCGTATTAGAGTATTGGAGAAGAGAAACCGAGATCAACATCGCAGTATTTACCAGCTATGAATAAAATAATCACAGAATTAATAAGGCTTTCTATTATCTATTGTACGAACTGTTAACTCGGTATATGTTTGCATTGGCATGATCACATAACGATTATATGATAACGAATTAAACTATTATAATGCGATCATAATCGTCATTTTCATTCTGCGTCATTCTTGCTCTTATCCGTGCCATTGGTTACTTATCAATGGCTTCTTCTCCGGACTATTACCATCCTCCTTGCATAGCAGCTAAACTACGATAAAGAGCCTTGCGGTCTTCGGTTAAGCTTTTTATAATAGCGCTTATTTTTTGTTGCTCGTAACTCGATGTGAGAAGAGGAAGGGAAGAGTCTCGCGCATTAAAGACAGGCGTCGACAATTACATACCGTACGTCGGCCGTTACGATGATCGAGAATCAACACCAATCCCCAGAGGCATTTTCCAGCAGGTTAATTGCGCGCGTGCGTGCGTTATTGGATAGAGAGGGAGAAAAGAATCGGGAACAAGAATTGAGCTTTAATTAGTCAGAGGCTTATGCGTCGTTTTGTTATTACAAATACGATGCGCAAGCCGCTTGTTATATATTAGCGGAGTTCTCTTCGATAAATAGAGTCACCTTGGTCTATTACAATTTTATTCATCGGTGCCAAAGTCGTATTTATTTATCGTAAGACAGTTTTCGTAATCTATTTAAGATAATCAACAAATTTTAATATTCAATTAAGAACAATAAACTTTTATTTAAGCCAGGAAAAGTATGCTAAATTAATAGAGATAAGAAGTATTGAAAATTTTTAAAAAATATTTATTCCTGTATTAAGATTACGCTTATTAATAATAAATTTATACTACACATTGTTTATGATTTTCTTCTCGATTTAGAAGAATTTTATTTTATACATTATCTATAATATTGATTTATATCTTTAAGAAAAATATTAACGAGAATAGATTTTCTTTATATTTATGAAAGCTAAGTATAACTCAAATTGTTTTCAAAACAAGATAAACCAAATACACCAAAATAATTTTTAGCAATTGATATAGAAGCATCAGAATTGTTTACATGGGAATTGAATAAAATACTAATTAAGTATAAATTGATTTCTTAATCTTGAAATTTTTATAATGCATGGGCTTTCAGTATGCAAGATAAGGTATACATACTTTTAAATACTGCTTGATTTTTAGTTAATTTATATTTATTTTTTGATATATTATATAAATATATATGTAATAATGTAAATTAATTTCCGAAGAAAAATTGTAGCAGTATAAAAAGGTAACTCTGAAGTAAACGCAAAATATAATAATGAAAGAAAAAGTTTCCTTGTATATGGTTAATATCTATTTTCAATTTTACAATCACTATAGAATATTACTTCGATTTTTTTAATAACATTTTGTAAAATAATTTTGCGGTAATTTTATTAATAGCAAGATAATTGTTTTGAAGTAAGGTAGCAATGTATTGTTAAATTATATTGATTAATAGATAGAAGTACAATTCTTACCTTCTTTATTTCTATTCTTCTTTTTTCCCTCTTTATCCTGAAAATAAAAGAATATTAAATAATATTAATAAGTTCATTAAAAAAAAAGAAAGAAAAAACGCATACAAGTTTTAAATATTTGAAATTGATTTCTATTTAGCATGCATTGGGTAACATCAAAAATAGCAAAAAATAAATAACATCATTCTGTGATGAAGTAAAAAATGTTCTACTAATATTTTCACTTGAATTTTAATAGAGAGTTTATTAATAATTATTATAATTTTATAATTAAATAAGACGATACAGTAAATATAAATCCTAAAGGGGAACGAAGGAGCCTATTCAGGATAAAGGAAAGACAACTAAAAAATATATATATAATTAAAAAAAAAAGCGTAAGATTAATTATTTTTACAGCAAATACTCTCACTCGTTGTAATAATATTTGTAGTAATAAATTTTTTATGGTATTAAAATTTCGCTTATTAAAATTATAAGAACGTATATATTTTTACGCAGGCAAATGCAGGTATACGACATTTACCTTATGCATCCACAATTTTCTAAAAGTATAGTGGTTTATATATGAAAATTTTAAACCCTTCAGTATTTTTTTCATTATTTTATATTTCTTTAAAAAGGGTTAAATCTTCATACATAATGTGAAGCCTAAAATAAAATGTAAGCTGTAAATTTAAATGTTTCTGGACCTTCTTTAATTTTTTAGAAATCTGTATTTATTTAAATTTGAAATGTTTTCGATTTTACATAATATGCTCATTATGATCTCCATGCGATGTTATACGTTTTTGTAATCTGCATAATGATCTAAATTTACTTTTTTCTGTTGAAGATAAACAACTATCGTTAAAAGTGGAAATAAAAAAATATAGATTTTTAAATTAATTTGTGTATTTAAATTATTAAATTTTCAATATAGCTTTTCATTAGATTTTTTATACATATTTTATAAATAAAGATATGCAATTAGTTGCCATTAAATACACAAAATTTGTGTATAATTTTAATTAATCATAAAGAAGAATAAAAGATAGAATAAGTAAAATTATAATTTTATAATTTTGTTTATTGTAAATTAGTACTATTAATCATTTTTTCTTTAAAAATGTTTAAAAAAGTTTTTGGCTTTATAAAATACTGAATGTGTAATACAAAATTAACAATATAAATATTGTATTTTACAGCTTATTATCTCTTTATTCTTACAAATCAAAGCATTTAAAATCTTACGAAGCTGAAGAAACTTATTTTTCTTTGCACTTCATTTTTACGAATAGTTATTATATGCCATATATCTGTTTACAAAATGTATAAATTATATTTGATTTTTATTTATAAAATAGTTATTAAAATTTTAATTTAAATGTCACCATAATACAAATAGCTAATAGGAACATAGTTGCAAACAAACTATAAACTCGTATGCACATGTATTATTAAGAATTAAACAATGTAGCTATGGCAGGTAAAAGAGTATTTCAATAACTAGTTTTCCATTTCTTTTTGTTCGGAAAGAACACGTTAAAATCATTGAAATTCTAATATCTTATTAACAGATAAATGAAATTAAGTACAACTCATGAAGCTTATATACAGTTCTATCTAAAAAATATGAAAGAAGGGCCTTTAAGCAGCAACATAAATGGCAGAATAAAAATTGAGCACCGACGCTGGCATGCCACTAGGTGAACCATAATTAGCGCTGGCGTGTAGGTGTGTGTCGGTCGATGAAGGTGCACCTTTTTCACCTTACATACAGGTTCCTTGAGACTGTGGGGAGATGTGGGGGAATTTTTAGTCGGTGGGGAGGTCGGGGCGTTGATGCTGCTGGGTTTTGGGCTGTCGACTCGCCCTATTTGATGCTCAAATTGATGATCAGGGTTGCCAAGGTCGAGATCTGTCCCGACCATCACTGCCGCCGTCGTCGTCGATACGGCATTTACTGTGGACAGCGACGAAGGCGGGGGCGGGGGTGAGGTCGAAGTAGAAGGTAGCGACTCTGCTAGGAGTTCGTGGCTCAACGCGAGGGACGTCGGCTTAGCCGGCGTCGTTGGTTTTGTCGTCGACAATTTTCCGCGATCGCTAGACATCGACGTGGGCAGGACTGTCCTCGTCTTTGGCTTGCGCCAGCCCTAGAGTAGAGAGAGCACGCGCAACGGGATACGGGTGCATATGTTACACACACACACACACACACGCACGCACACACGCACGCACACATACATACATACACATACATACATACATATACATATATATAATGAATCTGACCTCCGACTATTGTTACCACTGTGACAAATCATCATTTTCTACTTTGTGTTTTAAAAATTTTTAGCCATCGTATTTCGCTATGAGACGAGCATTTTTATATATTTTGGATAAATATAAGCTTCTACTATGACACTTGATATATTGAAGTTAATATTCTTTACACAAATTTTAAACACTCATAACGATAAACGAGAAAAATGGTTGATGGGAAATTACACACCTCCGCTACAGGCTCATCATTATACTATAGACTTGGAACAGTATAAATTAATATTTAGATGAATCTATAATTCACACTTGTAGGTAATCAAATCTGATACAATGATTAATTAATAATTTGCAAGATATTTCTTTCAGCTTCATTTGCATTTAGATAATTTGTAATATTGACTAACTTCTATTTTAACAAAATTTGTTTAGCAATAAATACACGCAATACCAACTATATAATACCTACATGAATATTCTAATTGCAGTGCACTATATGTATATGCTTGTGTATACGAGTATGTATATTATAATTTTTTTATGGGTATTCCTTCATGTGCAATACAAATTTTCTACAATAAATAAAGCTATTAAATTCTATTAAAATGGCAATCCAAGTTTTATTTACTTTTAGTTGAAAAATCATTTAGGTAGTCATGATTAAATATTATTAATTGAACGCATACTTGAAAAAACTTTAGACTGAATGAATCGGTTTGTTCACTATTAAGAGTCTAAATTAAAAATTTTTGCAATAAAAATATGGAAATATTAATGCATAAATATTATTGCTTTAGATATCGACATACGTATTTCATATAAATTTTCTACTTTAATATTTTATTAATACAAAATATAATATATTATATTTTTTAGTTCATGCAGAGAGTACAAACTTAATCAATTATTGAATAATTAAGTGAAATTCCGTTCAATTGAATGATTTCACATACCTAAGGTAAGAAACAATAACATTTTTATATATTTTTTTACATTTTTATACCTATACATTTATCAGTATACATTCAATAAATATTTTATCAATAATAATAGGAATAAGATAATAATAATAAAATACAATAAAATTAATAGAACTATAATGTGCGCTTATTCATGTGATACCGTGAATCTAGCAAATTAATAGACTTGGTTTACTTTCTATAAGAATACTATTGTGTATAAAATATTGGTATATTACAATACATTTTTTATATTTATGGGATTATTATCATTGGTATAAATATATATAATTATTATGTTATCGAAGATTACCAAATCATCTACTGAAAATTTGAAAAATTATCGAAGAAGATTATTACTTTATTTAATAATAAATATTTCATTTTATAATAATGATAATTTACAAGACCATACTGTATTTAAATTTACTTTAATTATAAGTAATTTATAAAATATTAATGTATGGGTCGCCTGTTTAAAATGTTATTTATAATTTTATGATTAGATCACAATTTTATCAGCACGAATTCTTTATAAGTCATTTAAAAAAATAATTTCATATTATATTTTTATTTTTGTTACCTTTACTTAAATTAGAAAACAAATAATTCTTCTTTTTGTTTGTAAAAAGTGTTTCGAAATACCAAAAAAAAATTAAAACCTTATTAATAATTTTTAATTAATTTAAATTTGTATATCTATTTGCATGTGCGTATATAAATATATATAAATCCTCCATAATTAGTAAGATAATAAATTAAAAACTTACCTTATCGTCGTAAAAGCCTTGATCATCTGTTCGTTGCTGACCGAGTAGTCGATCTGTTTCAAGGTCGGTGTCCGCTTCCTCATCAGCAGCCTCTTCGGTTTCCAATTCCTCATCGTCAATGTTGCGCTTCAGCTCTGAATCTTCACTGTTGCTTTCTGTGCAGATTCTCCGCCTGCCAACCAATGAACTAAATCTTAGATGCTCTTATAAAAAATTAATTGTCAAAACGAAAGTATTCTTAAGTGAAACATAATTACAATTTTTAAATATAGTTTTTAAAAATAATGCATATAATAGTATTTATTATTTAATAGTCGTAAAATAGTTATTATACCGGCTAATAAAATAACATGCCCTTTTATATCGGAAAAATGTAATAATCAATTTTTTTCTTTTGATTCATTTTCGATCAACTAAATTTCGGGCTGTTTTCGTAATCATGGGAAACGTCAGTAGAGTACCTTGGTATCCAGATTGGACTAACACTTGGCTCGGGCAGCTCCTCGGCCGGCGACTTCACTGGCAACGTTTTCGTTCGCTGGAGCGCCATCCTAATGTCCTTAATCGCTGCCTCAACCTCACCTCCTCCTTGCTCAAGACCAACACTCTGACGACTCTGTGGGGCGGGGGGTGGTGGCGTCCCGAGAAGATCCAGTCCATCCAGCTGTAGCTCACTCGTCATATCATATGTATTGTCATTTTTGGTGATGAATAACTCCGGGGATGCTAGATTGAAAAACATTATGAACTTATTATGGATAAAGACGTGGTAGGATTGAATTTCAAATACATTGCGTAAAATTGACACATTATATATGAATAATTTGAAATTTTAATAGTATATTACGATTTTTGGATTAAAAAGCTAGCATTCAAAGTAATAGAAAATCATTTATCACCAATTTAGTGGTAAATATTTACAAACCATTTTGAAGCCTAAAATTAACGTCCTTGGCATTATCATTGTTATCATTTCCTATAATGTCATTCCTTGTCCTTTGTATAATTTCTTTCTCGATTTCATTAATTTGTCTTTTCATTAGCATAACCGTGGGGTTATTGTTATCTGTGTCGCTCGCGTGACCACTTGATAAACCATCCTCCAATACGGGCATGCTCGTGTATAACCTTAATAAATGAAATAAAGTTTAGAATAAAATTAATTGAATATTTGAAAAAATATTAAAGAACAGCTATAATGAAAGAAATACGTCAACATTATATTTTATTCTTAATTCAAAGATAAATACAAGATTGTTATTGAAAAATTATTATATATTCTATTCATATGAATAATAGAATTACAAACTTTAAATGTATGTTACTGTATTTGTAAATATGTAAAGTACATATGAATAGAGTAATAATTAATAATTTAGTACGTAAGTAATTGACTCTCAGTAAAAGCATAAACATCGTATTGCAACCTTATAACTAAATAAGAATAAGATAAGTAATCACAGGAAAAACAACGATAAAATAATCTGTTTTCGTAAGTTATCATATGTAACAATCAAATTAGACATTTATTAAAATTATAATTATGTATTATTTTAATAAAATAAGACAGTCCATTACACTATGCAATAGTACTGTTATTAATATATCTCTCTGAAAAATAACAAGGAGCGATACAATTCATAATAGTTACCCGAAGAATTTGCGCTTGAAGTCCTACAAATTGTAACAATCCATACAATTTCTAATACTGTATGTATAACATAGTTAACAATATATAAATATATAAATTTTAGGAATGAATAGAAAAAAACTTGAATTAAATACAGTCTTTATATAATTATTTTAATATGCATTTAGATTAAAATAAATAATAAGTTTCTCCAAACAATACCTGAGAGAATCACTGTTATTGCCAAGGTCACCGATGGATCCGAGGAGGCCACTGCCTGGTAAGAGTTCATTGTCCATCATCATAAGGGATATTTCGCTGTCAAGATCACCGCAGTTACTATCACACTCAGTTGTCTCAGGACTGAGAGTAAAATTCCGCGAGTGTCCAACTTGCAGGCCAACTTCAGTTTCGCCCAGACCCTCGCTACTGCCAGTGCCGACCGACAGGTCCAAAAAGTTATTCTCATGTTGTGACTATAATTAGAGAGTTGTAATTTAGTTAATAAGTGAGTTTTAGACAAAGTAATTTAATAAAATTTTGTTTATAAATAGTTGTTTACTATTGTTGATAAGGATTTTGAGTTGGCACTGATTTATTTAGATTATAATATACGAAGTCAAATGCAATATCAAGCAATTGCGTTTTAAGAAATATAATTACTTGTGAGATCTCTATCTTATGCTTCTTTGGTGATTCGTGAACCATGACCTCCTCCGTTGACGGAGGAACGGATGCTAACCTTTGGCCGACGTAAGCACTGCCACCTTGTCTCCGAAGTTCATAATCAAGATCCTAAAAATAATAAAAATAAAAAAAGCAATTAATAAAATAAGCATTTGTGTATAACACAGGAGGAGCTTTGATTTCATAAGCAACTACAAATTTATATTTAAATATATTTTTATCTTGCAATTAGTAATATCCAATATGATATAAAATATGCAACGAAATTTAATAAACATCAGTTCGATGATTTTTAATTTTTTCATCGAAGTTTTCCGTATAGATTCCAAATTAATTTATTTATAGAATGAATGATAAACTTACACAAAACAACAGATATAACGATTATAATTTGTAATTAATTAGTAGATTATTATTATAATGAAAATGAACAATAGATTAAAACGTTAAAAACTTTTCTGAATTATGTAAAATTTAATATTTGAAATTTCCTTTACTAAATTTCTAATTAGGTTTTCCAAAGTTTATTGTATCATTAACGAATGAAATTAATTTACTAGATATTTAGTTACAGTTTATCTGCAGAAGGTTTTTAAAGCTTCCAATTATAAATTTATTCAAACTTCTTAAAAAATATATATAATATACAAATTCTTTAAACACGCATGCACAAATAAAAACAAAAATAGCGTTAAAAAATATATTATTCAATAAGACAATTAGTAACTAATTGTAAACGGTAAATAATCATAAGGATAAATAAAAAATTATACTCGAGGTTACGAAATACCTGGAATTCAAACACATCGCTATTTTCCTTTTCCTCGGCAGGTGTCGGACACTTGAAGAACTCCTCGAGAACTTTCCTTGTTTCTGAAAACTCGTAGAGGTAGTCAAAAGTGCTACCCCCTAGTGAATCCAGTCTACCCTCGATGCTCCTTTCGATGACAGGTTCCTCCTCCACTTCTACCGCTTCTTCCTCCTCTTCTTCATCCCTCTCCCGCTCAACGACTAAACCCATGGGCGAGTTTAAGTTACTCGTTACAATGCGTCCGGGTGGAGTCAACATCAGCGCCACTGGACTCACGGATACCGTCGTCGCGAAGTTGAGACTCGACGCGGTCGCTAGAGGCGAGGGACTCATTGGGCTCGTCACGTTCACCTCAGACAGCGAATCATTTAGATGATCGACCGCTCTCGGCTCTATCACAGCATTGCTCTCCACATTTATCTCGCCGCAGTTTTCGTCCTGTCGGTAAAGTGCTCATTTTTTATGAATATTTAAAGTTTTTCATATTAATTTCTTTTCCTTTAACTAGCTCTCGTTCCCTTTTGACGTACTGAATAATATCATCCTATTATATAAACGACTATTCATACTGTTAATTTCGAATGGCTAAAGAATTGTAGGCTTCAATTATAATTACCGTGTGTACTATATATAAATTTTGAATGTGCTATAGCATTAGGCTTATTAATGGAATTAAAATTGAAGTGTTGGAATTAAAACTTCGGCATCATTAACGGGAAATGATTAATTTCGTTCAACTTAATTTAGGTGATATTCCTTTGTTAAAAGATACAATCCCTCTATGTGATTAAGTCCTTAATGAATTGAAAAATCAATGCAATAGATTATAAATGGAACAATTATAAATAAATAACAATTATTAATGCAAAGTAAACGATTGTTCATGGCTATATCTTAGACTATTTGTCAATCATATACAAAGAAGTGAGCAATCGCTTAGCATTATAGAAGTAAGTAAAATAATGCACATCTCTCAGCAGCGCATTGATTTTCTCAGCTTCCGACACGACTAGTCACGCGAGTAACGCAAATGGAACCGAAATTCTCACACACATGCACGCGAATCTCTCTCTCTTTCTCTCCTTGTTTGCCCGCGTGTATAAATGGCCTTTTCCCTCTCTCGTAGTCCTTGGAGAGAAAAAAGGTAGCGCTTGCCTCTTTTTGATTGGGCGTAACTGGGAGTACGCGTTGGGGGAAGCCCGGGCGGGCTGGCACGTAGATTGACGAGGGCGAGGAGAGGAGCGTCGGCAGCCGGACGTTGTCTCGCATCCCGTAACGCTTCGGGCTGCCCGAGTATTGTGCGATTGGCAGCTCGCCGATTATCCGCGGCGTAGGCTTGTGGTTGAGATCCGGTGACGGGAAACTCGTCTCGCAGTCGCTCACCGATGTTATTACCTAAATATCACGTAGAAAATTCTCGTTAATTTTTACTATCGTTCGCTAGCATGGCTTTACTGTTTGTATTTAATGGAAAATTTCTAGTTCTGACGGTTATGACGTTTGTGCGTTGTCACAAGAACATTTAAAGAATATTGTCTTACAATGACTGTTAAATAATTAAAAAAAGAAATCAATTAATTGTATTTCGTTTCATTAACAATTATAGTTTTTCGGTTAAGATTATTAAAACATAAACAAATTAAAAATTAAAACTATTCGATTAATTACTGCATTGCTTGTTTAAAACATATTGGTAGTTAATATTTATAGAAGAATATCAGCGATACTTATTTAAATTATTAATAGATATATGTCTTGAAGTTTTTGTGTAAAATAGAAGATATATATAACTTTTGCAATCAATATCTGATTTTTAATTACATTAAAATTAAAATCATTTCAGTTTATCATACAATTTAGTAATAGGATAAATCAGGATTTCACCTGTTATCAGCTGTAGAAATTGCTCATATTCACAGAAGCAAAAAATAATATCTTAATGAGTTATGGTATATCTATTTATTGTTTGAATTATGATTATTGAATAGAATGTCAATTTCAGAAATATACTCGATAGTTTATATAACAAGCATACTTCTGAAAAAATGGATAATTTATATAATTACTATCTGTAATATAATCATTACTATCTGTAAAATTAATATATATAACGAGATTAACGACTTTGAACTATTCAAATTATTTTCAAAGCATATCACGTTGATGATGTGATCTTTTAAAATTTATTATTACAGACATTATTGGTTAAATAGCTCATACAATTTTGCAAATTATCATTAGGTCTACGGCTAATTTAGCTTTAGTAATTAAATCATTTCTACTTTCAAAGTAAGCCGGAAAATAGAATTAATATCGCAGTAACGAAATTAGTAACGGATATATGGTAAATATGATAGAAAACCACAGTTTATTAAAATAGCATTTTGAACATTTATTTCATGAATAAGATATAAATAAAATTAAACATTTTTTTAAATACCAAATAAAAGTTATACAATAATAATAAATGTTTATGAAAAAAGAATAAGAAATTTATAGTAAAAATAATGTGTTTTTATATTCGCATATGTATAAGATGAAAAGATCTTTGACTTTAATGCACGATAAAAAGCTAATTTTGCGTTTAATATTGTGATAAGAATTTTGCTACAGTATGTGCAGTATGTATAATATACTGAGCAATAAATTTGATCGAAATTATCTTAAAATACCTGTTCAACAATTAAACTGTGGTAGTCACTTAATCAATAACTTATCGTACTCTAAAAATTGTAATCTTCCGGCTTTTCATTTTTAAACGCAATCCAAAACAACGAATAACTGTAATAATTCTTTGCCAAGTAAATTTTGTCAAATTCACCTTGAAAAAATCGGAAGTGGTGCGATGGTATGTCCTCGTTGGACTAGGACTACTGCAGAGGCTTGAGCTAAGTGGCTCTGGAGGAGTTCTGCCTTGGTTCTGGTGCTGTTGCTGGTGATGATGTTGCTGAAGAATGAGTTGCTCGTCGATGGTGTGTGTCGTTGGTGTATTTGTAGAATTAAACTCGAGCCTCAAATTCTGCCAGTTGTCGTCGATATCGTCGAAGACGACGACTTCGCCATCTCTGACGATTGCCATGTTGTTGGGGTGTGTCGTGTTGTAGTTGGACGATTGATAGCCCTGGGAAACGGCCGATTAGTCTACGAATTTTAATGATTGCCTATGCGCATCCCTAAACATATTAACTTTATCTCCCTACAGACGTTAATTATATTATTTAAAGGATGACAGGTTGATAATTGCCAATTATATCATAGGCCACGTAAAGTGTTTGTACTTAATGTTTTGTAAAATCAATAAGAAAACTTCCATGTAAAGAAATTGAAAAATTTTATGTTTTTTTTGCTCTTATTTTAGAGGAAAGTATTTAATCTCACTGATCAAATTTAATTACAAATTAAATTCAGTTAATTTGTTTCATGGGATTATATTCTTCTAAATTATTCTAAATAAATTTTAATTTTTAAAACATTTGGCAGACATAACACGCGCGCGCGCGCAAACACACACACACACACACACGCACACATACACATATTTATAAATATATATAAACATAAGTGAATTAAACTATGTATCATAATTTATCAGTTTTTAATTAATATTTAATATTTGTATACATTTAATTAATATGAATTATTATAATGAAGGATAATAAATAATTAATATACAAAATTATTTATTCATGAGACACAAATAGTCTTCTTAGTTGTTGTGATAATTTTATTTTTTAATTAAGGATGACTCAGTATCTTATAATAAACCATTCGTAATTTAATGAAAAGATTAATAAATTAAGAATATTAATATACAGTTTATGATTCTTAGTTATGTAATTATGTAGTTTAGTTGTGCAGTTTATGAATGACCTATTTTTAAATAAAATAATAGATTTGTAAAAGTATATAAGAATTCTACAGTTATAGTTAAAAAAAATTCTTTATTTTAAAATATATTGTATCATAAATATTGAATCAAATAAAAATTACTATATAGAATATGAAATATGTAATTATTATTAATTAGTATGATTATATTAATGAGCTCAATTTTGATTTTCATAATTAAAAATATAATATTGCAAATATTGAAAAATAAGTAATACAGTTATAATTATTTCTGATTACTCATAAATAAAAATTTTCTTACCAGAGGATCTATGCAGTTTTTTGGCAAACCATATTCAATGTCCATGATACTTTTGGACCCAGCTACATCGTGGTCTACATTGTTGCTATTTAATATCATGTCATAATTGGTGAAATGGCTACCATGATTGGTCTTTGGCGAATCGTAGTCCAGAATGGACTTACTAGTATTTCTGCGTACAGAATGAACTTCGCTTGAAAATACTGTTTCTGTTATCTCACGGTGCATTCGCTGTTTCCTTGTCTCTCCACATCTGTTATTAATTTTTTTTATTACTTTATGTTCTACTAATCTAATGAAGAATTCCCATTCTAATCAACTATTTTTTCTGAGTTTACTAAAAACTATAACTTACCGACTTCTTAATTCCCAAATACTTTGTCTATTAGGAGACTTATTATTTTTTTTCAGGGACAACTTATTGTCCGATTTATTACCATCATTAATCACTGAATTAGAAGCTGTAAGAAACCGTGGTTTACGTGCAGCTACTTTGCCACGACTTTGTGAGAAAACTTCTCTACCACCAGCTATTTCAATTATTCTATAACAAAAATAAAACCAAGATTAATAAAATTACTATAAACTTTTATAATATAAGTATTAATAATAAACAGAATATATAAAAAAATAAACTTTTTATAAATATATATTTAGGAGTACTCCATGATAAATAAATATTTAATTAATATTGTAATTTATCTTAATATTTTTTCTGTAGAAAATAAAACGAAAAAGCTTTCAAATATTTAATAAGATTATTAGTTATAAAATCTCCATTTAATGTAATTAAAATAAAAAGTAAAAAAAAATAGCTGGCAATCATCTACATCATTGATAGTCATCATTTATCTATTTCACTATCCAACTGTTTCTTTTTCTTCTCACTCATTATACTAAATACCTTACTGAATTATTAACCTAAAATTTGACTCCAAATTTCTCAAATAAATAAATAAACATCTTTAGAATAAAATAATATTATTTAATGTAAAAAACATTAAAATAATCTTTAAGTGAGCTAACCTGATAAGAAAACATATGGATTTGTATGCATATATACTAAGTCACGGTATGTTTATAAAAATATAAAATTTCTTTTTAAATAGGTTGATATTTCTAGAATTCGATAAAAGTTACTTGTACAGTAATAAAAAGTAATGCTTATTCAATTTCTTTTGAGATAGTCAATATACCAAAAATTTGTATACAGATTTAACAACAAAAATTTGAGATGCATTTTATATACAATGACATACAAGATTAGCAACTGTGCCACTTGGCGGAGCCACTCATTATTTTATTTTTATATATTAAAAGCACTTGTTCCAGGAAAAGTAGTTAAAATTTGTTTAACTTTAAAATCGTATTTTACTATTTATGATAAAATACAGTAATAATTTCAGGCAAAACCTGTGAAAGAAAACAAATTTATTGGTCGTAAGGAGTCTTAACCTTTAACTCTAAACAGTATTAACTACAATAATATTGCAATAAAAAATATACATCTTAAAGTTAAAATTCGACATAAAATACGATAGCCTTTATTTATTTAATAAATTTATAACTATAATATGTATGAAAAATTCAGTATAAGTACACAGTTCAATATAATTATTACTAATAAAATAATTTCATACTTGCTGCTTTTTTGAAATCTAAATTATATTATTTATAATAATGAATTGTTTTAATACTAATGTATTCATTATTATACTTCTACATTATTGTATTCCACGTTTATAATTATTAATCAATGTATTTAAATTAATTACGATTTTCATTAAATGTTGCTTTAAAATTAAATACAATGTTTAAATCGAAAAACAAGTAGGAAAAAGCATATATATTTTAATAATTAATTTTTTTAAATTAATATAAAAATTAAATTAATTATAACCTTTATATCAAAGTTTGATTATTAATTACATGATCAATGTAGTTTTAATTAAGATAGAACAAAGGTTCTTTGTGTTAATATAACATAACAGTTTAATTTGTAAGTATTATTTTTAACATTTTATCAATACTTTTAAACATTTTAGTAATTCTTTTATTCGCAAAAAATATTTTTCAATAATATAAATTTATTTACTATTTGGTGATATCAATTTTTTTTAATTTTTATTCGTTAAAAATTAACAGACATATTTACAATATTTTTAATATAGATCGAATTAGTATAATAAATGTATAAACCTTACTAATAAATTAAATACATTTCCTTGTATAATGGAATTCTAATAGATTCAGATGTTTTCGTATTTATTTTGAAGAAAGAATCTATTTATGTATAATTTTTGTAGAATACATAAATGAATGTTCATATGATTTCAGAAATAATAATTTTATTCTTTTAAACATAAATTTTATATTATTTAATATAAACTATAATGAAATTTTTATATTATTAATTATTACAGTATTACAAGAACATAAAGAAGATAATAAAACTAATAAATTAAGAATTCTATTAAACAACTTTTGTATATAAGTTAAATTATACTATTATTGAAAAATTATTTGTAAAATTTTTTATTACTAATTGATTTTGTAATCTTATTTAAGACATTCTATAAATATTTATTCAAAATATCTATTTATCTGTTTTTAATAAAATTAACTATTTTTAATATTTTTCATATCTATTTTAATTATTTATTTTAATAATTATAAAAATTTTTTAATTACAAATAATAGTAATGATTAAAAAAAATTTATTTATGTGATTAATGAAAAATCTTAAAAATAATTTTTAATGATAATTTAATTTCAATATGAATAAAGATTAAGGATAATATAAAAATTTAACTATCTCATGAATTACTTAATAATATTTAGAAGTCTTTCATTACTATTAATGACAAAAAATGTTATATTTGATTTAAATATAAAAGCAGTTTCATAGAATTTCAAAAATTCCGATCACATAAAAAGAAATAAAAAGACAATAATGGATAAATAATGGATTTTGAACCATCAAACTTTCAAATATTGTAGAAAATTTTATGAATGTACTTGTAAAATCTGTTTCAAGAAAAATCACTACTTTAAGATTTGACCCCAAATAACTTGCATTTTTTTATTTTAAAAAACTCCGCATTATTTATATGTAATGAATGTTTTAATAAAAAATAAAATGTTATTTGCTTATTTAGATATTTTATTTAAATGCATAAGTGTACTTATAAGAATAAAGAGATTACATTTTTAAACAATAGTAGTAATCAAATTTTTTTACAGTACATTTTTCTTTTATATTAATCAAAATTTTATTTTACTTCTTATTACTTATAAAATATATAAATGGATATTATTGCACATTAAATATTTTATACGCTTATTTAACATTCTAATTTAACATTCCCGTTGAATAGGAATTCTAAATAAATAGTTTTTAAAGATTAGTTTTGTAATTAATATATTTAAAGTAGTTGTAATAATGGTGTATCTCTTCACAATACATAAAATCTTTTAAAATATATTTTCATGCAACTTCTGAAAATATATTTGCGAATTTTTCAATATTTTATTTAATATTATATTCAATATATGTTCTTCGTTTGTAATTAAAAGAAATGGAGAAGTGGTTTGCAATTTATTATTAAAAACCTAAAATGACTAAAATTCAACTTAAATCTATAATATATATGTTTCAATTTTTCTTCACGAGTTTATGTAGTTTAAGTCCTTGGCTTATGGTCCAGAAATAATAGTACAACGGAAAACTGACTGAAATGTAAAATCAATTAAATGTAACTACAAAGCAATTTAATATATTTAAACTAATTTAAAAAGTTATATTTTTTTAAAAATATTCTATCAAATTTTATATGTTAGAATATGTACATGAATATATTTCTGATAAGATTCTAAATATTAAAAACATGGAAGTTTATATTATGTATCTGTATTTCCAATAATAATGTTGATGGTATGTATTACTTATGAAGAAGCTTAGATAGTTTCAAAAGTTCATGTTATTTTTCATACAATGTAATCTGAAGTAACATTTAGGATCGCTTCATAGTTTGCGGACTTTTTTATAAATATTTTTTCATTTAAAAATATAAAAACTTGAACAAAATATTAAATTTTCTAAAGTATGTTCATGTACAAAAATCCATTTTGCAACTTTAATTTATGCAATAATTTTTAAACTCTCTTATATATTAGTATATCTCTTATATATTAGGATATATTATATATTATCTTATACAATTACTGTTTTAATATTTTGATTTTTCATCATATATTTATTGTTTCCCTCTTATTATTTTTATTTCTTTTATTTTTACGTGTTCTCTACTAGTTTACCTTAGTACTTTCTAATTGAATAAAATTAAAAATCTAAAAAAATTTCTCAAATATTATTTTATATGTAAATATAATAAGTATCATGTTTTGACACGTAGAAAATCATAATTTATAGAATAAAAAATTAAATTATAAATGGGAAAATATACATTTTTGATATATTTAAGGATAAGTACAAAGATTTAAAAATACAAGTTTAAAAATATATAAGCTATGCAAATTACATTTTCCAATTTTAAACGTTAGGTTCCAGTTTTAGTTTTTATATATTTAAATCTACATTTCGCTTTTATAATTGCAAATTATTTTCTTTCAATGTTGATTGCAATTGAAATAATATTTATGATAAAGTAATGCTTTGAAAAAAATTAAATTCTGTAGAAGCGAAAAAAATTATATTATTGATATTTACGTAAAAATAAAAGCGTTTTTCAAAACATCAATTTCGCAATACTTATCATTATAGTATAATCTCCAATTTAACATAAAAAACGAAATATTTTTAATAAATGAGAATGCCAAGTTCGTTTCTTTCTTGAGTAATCAGTTAAAATAAGCTTTAGACGGAGGAAACACAGTATCGTAAAGCAATGAAGTAAAAGGACCAAGAGACAATTCATAAGAGAATATAAGGAGATGAGTATGTAAGAGTTCTCGAAAAACAAAAGGTCCTTTCTTACACTGGAATTGTGAAAAATAAAGAACGTGCGAAGTCTTTAAGTTCATAACTAATATGAATACATTGTTATCTCAGTTATTTCCCATCATCCTCTCCCCTGTTAACATGAGCACTTTCAATGAATTCCTTACAGCTCGTTTTCACACTCAAGTTATTTAGGTCGTTCGTGATTCTATTGACTATCGCTCTATCTCAGTATTTTTGTATAGCAGTTTATCGACATTTTGCAGTAGAAAAATAATACAAAACTGAAATTACCGTCTTTTTTATAAACTATATCGTTTAATTATATTGTTGAACTATATCTTTTATATTAATTTTTGCATTAATTTATATATGTGATTTAAAAACTTTGCATAAATTTTTGCTTACGTGCGTAAAGTTGCAGTACAGTTATTGTAGTAAAACTTGACTGTTGGTCGAAATAAATCACTAAGTAATCACGTTAAAAAAAGTAATCACTAAGAAGTTAAAAATTTCTACTTTTCACATAACTTATATTAAGTGGGTTTATATCACGTTAAAAAATGAGTAATTTTGTTTAATATTTCAGACAATAATATCTGATGTTATCGAGTAAAACGTTTACGGCATTTTTCAAATTATACAGCTTTTTATCAAAGAGGAAATTTACCACAATGTTGCTTATAAGAAACATCAATAGTATCTTGTATAATCAGTCACCAGTTTATTTTGCAAAAGAGATATATTAAATGAAAGATTATTGATTATTGATAGTATGTCAAACTATATATTACTAATCTTCCAATATTCAATTTAAAATATTATTTTCATGTGTCTACAAAGGCCATCATAACTTCAAAGTAATCAATAATTTGTAAATATTTTAATTTCAACATTTACATTTATTGTTAATTAATATATTAACATAGTAAACATCAACAAATATTTAAATTATATTTGAAATATTTTGTGAAATCGGAAAATGAAGAATTTTAAAGTAAACCAGGCCAATCATTTTTGTTATAATTATAATTTAAAAATTACAAAATTATCAAAAAATTATTTAAAATATCTTCAAATATTTTAAGCTTTGTGATAGCTTAGTAAAATATATATTTTTATGACCAATTGCATCAGCAGTTTAAAAACAATAACAAAATTGATCACTTGATTTTTCACTGAATATTTCACTCTATCTATTATATTTGTATTCTATTATATGAGAATACTTGTACTATCTAATTTAATTATAAGTGAAAAACGAAAAATGATCATGTTTTAGTTAAATTGAACTTAATCAAAAAGTACTTAAAACGTTTACATTTAACAAATATGTTAGAATAAGTTTCCCGTGTAAATTAAAAATATTTTTAACTTTCTAGATTAATTTATTAACCTGGTTATATTTCTGTATAATTTTCATAAATAAAAATATCTTTACTTATATTACAATTTAATTTCTTAAAAATTAAATTTAATCTTCATTAGTATTTAAAGAAAAAAATTCAAAGAAAATTAAAGATTCAAACGTCACGTTGAAGTAAACTGCTAAATATACCACAGCTGCACACGTTTAAAAACTGAAATTTTACAAGTAACAGATAGTTTTTCTTTTATTATTAAATAAATTATAGATTACATTAGTAATATTATTAATAAAAGAGTATTGTGATTATTTATTATATATTTAAATAATATTATTCTTAGACAAAATAACTGTTTATTTTTTATTCAAATTTCAGTAACTATTTTTTGTAATTTTTACAATTATTATCAATAATTAATAATTTTTACATGCCATGATTGATAAAAAAGCATTTCAAAATTTAAAAAGTAATAATCGAAACATGAAAGTCTGTAATTATTTAAAAATCATTATGGTATAAACTTAAATAAAATATTTTTTTATTGATCAACTATATATGTACACATATTTTTTGTCTATTAGAATTTTATCGATTTGTTAATGAAGAATATATTATTTTTATTTACCATTAATATTATTATGTGACTACTGTAACCTTAATCATTTGTATGTTATCTATTTGTATATCATCTAAAATCGATTAATGCTTCATATTTACAATGGGATTATTAGATACTCTCCTACATTTCATAACATTTTTTATGCATTTATGAATATTTAGTATTATATACTTTGATTATTATCAATGTAAAAAGAGTGTTTAATTAAAAAAATTATTATGTATGCGAAAGAAACAAGTAAAAAGAATTTAATTAATTTTAAGTATTTATTGGATTAATATTTATTGTTTCACGTTTAATGTAATTAAACGTTTTTAAAAATTAAAAAACTTTTTATTTCCATTTTGAAGTATATTTTAAACTTTTTTTTTAATGTTTGTACCAGTGTTTGTAAAAGTAGTTCATAATAAAATATTTATTCTTTTTTCAAAAGATTTGCATTTTATAAAATTTAAAATTTTAATTTGTCGATGTACCGGCAAATCGATATAAAGAAAGGAATTAGGAAAAAGAAAGATGTATGTATAGATATATAGATATATAGAGATAGATATATGGATATATATATATATATATATATATATATATATATATATATATATATCCATCTCGAGAGAGAGAGAGAGAGAGAGAGAGAGAGAGAGAGAGAGAGAGAGAGAGAGAGAGAGAGTGGATGAGTGAGTGAACCTATTCCAAAATTATTCAGTGTGTATGTGGATAAAAAATTATATATCATAATAGCCAAATGTACAAGTGATTGTGGGCATATTTACTCTTTTACTGTTTGTAGTCTTTTAGTGGTAATTTTATTTTTTAAGTCATTAATATAATGGTGTATTTTATTATTAATTACCTTAAATATTATTTAAATCTGTTCAGATTGAACATTACAATATAAAATATAAGGCCAAGTCAATTGTATAAAATAATCGATATATGGTATTTTCAAAAAGTAATGTCTATATATATTTGTATAAAACTGGTAACTTATCTCTGTAATTATTATCGAATATTTTTTATAAAATGAAAAATTTTATTAAAGAATGCTTCATTGCAATAACCTGAAGGAAATGGCCAAGAAGTGTTGATTATAAATAAAGTTATCTTGCTCGATCCAATACTGTAATACTCTATGGACACTGGAGTCAAGTGCAATTGTGCCTTTGATATATCTCACAAGCCGAGATGAATGAATATTCAAGTTATTCTTTCGAATAGATTATCTTATTCAACGAGAATGATACTTATACAAGCCTTTAATATTTTTCTATGTATAGAGCATAATTTTTAAATACGAGCTAAATAGATTGCATGAAACTACTTCTTATTATAAAACAAGATTATGAAATACAATAATAAATTATTTATGCAAAACTAAATTCTAGGGAACCGTAAGATAGTTTCTAAGTGTTTGACGGTATTTTATATTTATTCGTTTTCATTGAATTAAATTCATATACCCATGAACCAGTAATTTCAGATATTCATTATTGAATGACAATGATGAGATTTTTGCCAGTACTTTAAAAATTCTTTTTAATTATGATTATCATACAAGCTTATAGACGACTATATTTATTATCATTATATTAATACGCACTTGTAATAATTTATGAACTCATTTGAAAGAAGAATAAAGGAAGAACAAACCTGGAATCGCGCAACTTGTAACTCCGATCACCTTTGGCCGAGGTGAGAATGTACACGGGGCTCTCCTCGGGGCCACTGTCGTCCTGTTGGGAGTGACCTTGCTGATCACTACCCGTTAAACTTCCATAGTGCTGGGCGTCTTCGCTGCGTCCAGACGCGGATGAGGAGCTCGAGGACGGTCCGTGTTTTATGGGACCATCAGTAGTTGAGGCCACATCCGCGAAACTTGTCTGCCTACGCGACGTTGAGTTCGGCTTTTTCCGGCCGTTAGCTCGCTTCCTGCATCTGCGGTTCATCATCAATGGGTTAGTTTTCCGGTCGCTAATAGATCGGAAATTATAATCTTATTGAAAGAAATGTGATTTACTTTTTTGAGGATTTATGTTCTTTCAAAGATTCGATGTTCCTATGCTTTTTCAATTATCAAAGAATACGGGCTTGTGGTGAATACTCGTTATTTTAAATATTTTATAAATCATGAAATAAATGTATTTCGAATAGACTATTAATGTAATGATTCATGGAATGTACATATTATCTTATTGCTATTGCTTATTTACTAACAATGTGATCTTTTAATATTTGCCATAATATCACATCATTGTGATTATTAATAGAATATAGGATTATGTAAATTCAGTATTTTATTTCAGTCATTCATTATGGTGATACATTGGTATCTTAGATGATATACTGTGTAATATTCATGTATGTATTTACTTGTTATATACTTAAAAATATATAATCATATTTATTTGATTGAACTGTATTTTGTAATAACTCTGGAATAGGTACAACTATCAATCGTTTTCAAAAAGCTTCGTATTAGCCTCGTCTTATTTAGTTTATTCAGAAACTTTCATTGAATACCTGATTTTTGAATGAATAAAATTTATACAAAAATTTTATCTTTACATTTACTACTTTAATTAATATTAAAATTTAATAAATTAAGTTTAAAAGTAATCAGAAGCATTATAAAGATAGCTTATGAAAATAGATTATGAAGAATTGATGAAAAACTAATTACATTAAAAATACAATAAAAGATTTTAAATATAATTCATTGAAAAAAAATTATTCTACTAATAACTCTCACAATTTAAACCGAAAATACAGCCAAATTTCATATAATAAAAAATATTTTTGGTAAAATCATTATAGTTAAAATTATAAGTATATACACATTTATTGGTATAATTTTAATTATTTATTGATAACGTCACACTAGCAAAAGGTGAATATTATTTTGAGAATTCTTTATTTTACAATGAAAAATGATTATTTTTTATTCTTATTGATTAGCAATCTTTTAAAAATAAATTTTTTAAAAAATGTTTTTCTAATTGAGTACTATTCAATTTTTTATACGATAAAAAATTAAATTAGATTTAACACTACATTGATATTGATACATTGATACATAATATCTATAAAAGTACGTAGAAAAATTAACGAAATAAATTTATTTAATTTAAAAATACTTACTTTTGAAGAAAAAAAGCAAAAATAAAGAAACTTTTGATCTAAAATTTAAAGTAAAATGTAAAATTTGTTTTTTTTAAAGAGAATACAATTTCAAATATTACATTAAAAATTAAGTTTAAATTATTTTAATAATCTAATCGTTTTATGTGAAAAAAAATATATAGAAAATTATGAGAGATTTATGATACATAAATGAGTCAATGAACTTTACATGATAATTTTTAAAAATTATGTATGAAATGTATTGTCAATATAGAAAATTTAATTTCTTAACAATTCAAAAATTTATTGAGAAGATTTACTATACCTGAAAATACTTCAATTAATAATAATGTTTTTAGGTGTATAGTTTTTTACTATTATAATGGAAAATTTATTTATCGTTATCGTTAATATTGAATTAATTCACTTTAAATATATTTAATTATTTTTAATGTTAATGTTGATAAGAATTTAAACTGGTAGTGTTTCAATACTTCGCTACTATTATTATTAAAGCTGATTCAATTAATAAACATTTCAACGAGTAAATTCTTCCGGACAAAATAAAATTAATTGAATAAAGTAAAAAATATGTTTAAAAAATAATTGAAATGTAAGAATAGATAAAAATAATAAAACAATGAGAATTTCATAACTAAACAAACATAATATAACTTTTATAAAATTTAATTTTTTATAGCTTAAGAATTTTTTATTTAATAATTAAGTGTAATATTACTATGACCAAAATTTAACCATATTATACATTTTCATAAATTCACTTGTATTCATTATTTTCAGTTGTACATATTAATGTTTACAATATATCTATTATAAAGTATATTATTTTCATGTAATATCTTTACATCGACAGATGACGTATTTTTAATTAAATTTTGTAATGAATATTATTCTATTCACTTGTTTATCAAAAACAAAATAGTTGCTAATTGAGCTTTTAAAGTATTATAATCACAACTAATAATTTAACATTAATTATGAATATCATATGGAATAAAATATTTCATTGTTTCATATAATCAATATTAATTAATTAAAATAAATATATAAATGTATAATTATTATTTGTAAAATATAGAATATATGAAAAAGGTATATTAAAGTTCAATGAGATTTTAATTTAATATATTTATGTCTTTTTTTGTATCATGACAATAATTATTTAATAAACCATTAATTCTCTATCACAAACGTTTCTTAAACGCCTGTTTAATTTTCCATTCAATATGAAATTTAATTAAACTTGCAATGATTAGTGTTCTAATAAAGTATAAAAAATATTAAAAAATATTATAAATATTGTAATGCTTATTAATATATTCTTAAGAAACCGAACTAAGGGAATTGTATACAAGAATGAATAAAAGAATTATATAATATTAAAGTAGCACATTTTTAATTTATTTTGCAAACTTTGCTTCATATTAATATAAGTTCTAATATTGGATAGGCTTAAAATTGTAACAATATTAATATTTATAAATAATAAATGAAATAAAATTCATTTTCATACTTCAAAAATATTTACTTTTCTTGAAAAGCACATGTTATTGTATATCAATTACATTATAACGTAATTGTATACAACAAATTAAAAACTTAAGTTAATATATGCTTTTTGAATCATAAAAATACTAAACAGTTATTACTATTGATACAGAAAATTTTAAATTGAATATTTTAAGTTTGAATTAATAGATTATCATTTTCACTGGCCTGCATTCTTATGCAAATCAAGAGTATTAAAATTGAATAGTACTTTATCATATTAAACAATATAATACATACATTCAAAGTTTTCCGAGTAAACCACTTGCATATAATTGAGTAAATATCTAAACTTTAGATATGCTTACTATTATGACCTTTTTTTTATATAATACTACAGAATAATTTATGAAAATTAATTCACGAATCTTTTCTTTCTTATTTTTTACATAACTGCAACTTACAACTACACGATGATTTTGTATATGCCAAACATAAATAGTCAATGAAAAAGGAAATTGGTTGCGTTGCTGGATGACATTATTATATTCATGTTAAAATTAAAATTAAATTAATTGAAAAACCTGATTCATGCGTGAGAATTCAATTTGAAGATTTCAGTGAGATTTCAGAAAATTGAAGCAAATTTAACTTGTAACATTAGTCACCACAAGTGTACATACCACATATGTACACTTTTTTAATTCATCCTCAGTTTAAATTATCAAAATTAGAGTAATTGGAAAGAATTTCTTTACTTAGAAACATAAGTTTTAAAAAAAATGTAACTCAATTAAAATATTGTTTTTTTAGATACTAATACAAATAATTAGTATAAACTTTTTTCAGTTTTCAATTTGAAATTAATACGTGCACAATATTTCCATGCATAACCTTTTGTATATTTTACTTTCAATTTTTTGATATCCAACTTTAATTCAAATAAATAACATTCAAAATTTTTTAAAAATTAAATAAAATAAACTTTAAATTTTCGTATATTTTATTAATTGAACATATAAAAACTTTTAAAAAATGATATTTTCTATTTAGCTTACATCAGTAATTAATGTATACCTCATTTCTCAGTTTTTTGAATAAAGTTATAGTAGAATTGAAAATGATAATTTTCGTACGCGGATGCTTCTTACACATAAGTTTATATTATAAAATAAAATCAGTACAATTTTAGATATTATAAAGTATTATATTTAATTTAAGAAATTTAAATATATTTAACAATAACCACATCAGACATTCAACATTCAAAACGTATATTCGATTTAATGTATTAACAGTTGAATCATTCCAGCATGTAAAATAAAGCTTTACAATGTACCAGATAGTCAGATTTGCAATTCTGTGACGTTTAAACTAAATATTCCGAATGGTGTTTTGTACAAAGCTTGGAATTAACATCGTGGATAATCTTTGTTCTTTGTAGATAGAAAACAAATCTGATCTAAGCCGATTGAATATCAGAAGAAGCGTGATTGAGGTATTAATAATTTTGTACCCGTATAATAATATAATTGAAGTAATCATAATATAAGAATGATAACAGAAACTAATATTACGTGATTTAAAGTAAAAATTAACAGAAAAACTCTAAAGTATTTACAATTATGTTACCAAACGAATTATTAAAAATTAATTTTGTTAACTAGTGAATATATCATGTTTTGGCATTACTTTATTACTATTATAAACGACGAAGATTTTTTTTTACTTAAAATATAACACCAAATAGATTAATTATATCGTCATGATTCGTCAATCCTACAAATTCTAGATCTATATCAAATACAAAATCAAATATTTTATCCTATGATAGTGGCGTAAGGAGGGGGTATATCAGGGCGTGGCGGGATAAAACTGATGTGAATGATGTAAAAAGAAATAGAAGAATGACCAATACTTTACTACATGCTTGGAGTGAATCTTTAATAACTTTGGAGATTTCACCAAGTATGAACAACTTGGATTTTATATTGAATTTTTTCCATTCATAATTCATAAATTTATAAATTTTGTTAGATATAAGAGAATTTGATCTCACATTATAAAATAGATATTAATGCGTATTTTTCACTTCAAGAATTCAATTAATTAATACTTTTAATCTATAAACCAAAAGTCCGAATATTAGACATATTCATATTAATAATTTAATTAATAATTTAAAATATCTTAATATAAATCACATTAATATTGATTTTAGTACAATAAATCTCAAATAATTTTTCTTTATAATAGATGAACGAATGATTAAATAATATAAAAGTATAATCAATTTAAATATTAAATACACAAAACCAAAATAATATAAAATTAATTTAATATTTATATAAAAAGTATATTAATATTATTTATTCAGATAAATATACGATTTCATAATTTAATACAATCACTATTATAAATTAAATGATTTTTAAGAAGAAAAAAATCCCTAATCACATAGTTTCAAGGACACTTTGTTTCAATTTTGCAATTATTTACTAGTATAAAATTTAATTTATAAATTCTGTTCAATTAGTATGATAAATAATTTTCAATAAGAAACATGTTAAATTGCATAAATTATATTAAATTGCATTAATTTAATTAAGATTGCAAAATTTTTTGTAATTTACATGAATGAAACACAAGTTGATCATAAATGGAATAATCGATTATTGTATAACACGTATTAATTCGATAACGGTACGTTTATACTGATCTAAATTTGAATATTAATAATACTATATAAACGTAGTTTAATATGAAAATAACACACAAGTACACCATATGTTATTCAGTAACTATAATAATGTATAAATTGAATACGTGTTACGCAATTAAAATTAGGTGAATACTATTCGAAAAACCTCAAACTATGCAATGCAATTTAATCTTCTAGTAAGCTGTCGCTAATTTATAGTTATTTCAAATATGAAAATCATCGACTGGATTTAAAAAAATTACTGGACGACGAGATATCCACAATATATTGATATCTAATGGATTATTAATCTTAGAAAATAATATATTAATAGTATATTAGAAAAAAATAAAATTTTTTAAAAGAAAAGCATTAATTTAAATAAAAAGATCTTACTAGTTTCAGTTAATCTTTAGTTTTTAAAAAATTAAGTAGTTTCTTTAATTAAAGTTCTTACAACTTTAAGTTTCGATTCACTTCGATTTCTGAAAGAACAATAATTGTTTATATATTCTTAAATTATGAAAAATATGTTATTAAGTATGTATTAAAATATGTTAATTATGTTATTAATATTAAGCAAATGAACTTAAAATATACATTTTAATAAACTTCAATGTTCATTACAAATTCTAATATATAGGAGTTCTAATATATATAAAGTTTGTTCTTAGTAGAACATTAATTTAAAATAATTCATATTAATTCAGTTAAACAAGCAACAAATGATTTTTACGAAAGTTTTAATTAATTTTTTAGTTAATGTATCAATTGATAATGCAATATTATTCTATAAAAAGATATTTTTATTCTGAATGTGATGTATCAAATGCTTTAGATAGAAACAGATAAAACAAATTAAAATGTGAGAAGTAAGTTTGTAAATTTTATTCAAGTAATATAAATAAAATTGATTTTATTTATATAATAGGATATTTTAAATTACAATTATTAAATTTAAATAATGTTAATTTTTATATTTTTTACATTATTTTTTATCTTAAATAAGTAATATAGTAGGTTTTCAAATGTTATCAGTACACTATGTTAATTCGTTACTGAAATATCAAATTTTGCATTTTTTAAACTATTATTTGTCGCGGGTCTTTTATTGATGTTCCAGCGTATGTGATGGAAAGGGGTATAAATATATGAATTTTATATGATATATAAAATTTGTCGATTATTTTTTCATATTTGTTTTATATTATATTAAATATAAACATGTGCTTTAATGTTTGTATGTAGTTATAAGCACACATGAGTTTGACAAAATAAAAATCACAAATCACTGTATTCGTTTATTTAGTTAAAATATGTATGAATATAAGATAAAAAATTCTGGTTTTTTTTTGTTAAATATTGGATATCTTACGATGTTTCCAATAAAGAGTTTTTGTTTTAAAAATTTGAATATGAAATTTTGTTACGTTTTATTAACATGACTTGGATAACGCGTTATACTTCTTTTAGTGTCAGTGAAATTAATTAATTTAAAATATGAATAATATAATTAATTTATCATTCATATTTATATTTATTTTTAATAATTTATATTTAATTCAATATTAATATTTAATTCTTAAATATGAATTTAAAAAAATGTTTAATAGGTATCATTACAATACGTGGTATATCCATTACAATGTATTCAGATTCATTTTAATCCTTTATTTGCAGCTTTTGTATTTTGTTATCAATTATTGTCACTCGCTTATACATGCATGACACTTGAGCCTCTATTCCCTTCGCTTATCACATTAGCAATACAAGGATTCCTTGCTTTCTAGTAAACGATTGTTTTCTATTCCGTGTGAATGTATAACTCGATTGTGTGCTTCTAAAGAAAATTATAATATGTCGTAATATCTTTTAAATATACTTAGAATAAAATAAGTTTTAAGATTTATCGATGGGTACAATTATATAGAAATACTTAACAAGTATGCTGACCTGTCCGAGGTGTCGCGCTCAAGGTCAATCATAGCGGCAGTTAAATTGCGCTCGTGGCTTTGATGCTGTTGTTGTTGCTTCTGATACTGTTGCTCTTGTTGATGATTGCTGGTTAATTCAGGAATCAGTCCCGAACTCAATTTAGGCCGACATTTCGGAAAGAGACGGTTCAGGTCCGCGTTCTCCAAAATCAGACTTGTCATCGCCACACGTTCACGGTGATCACCGAGAACTCGGGCTGTCCCACGACCGGCAGCCACCCGCTCCTCATCATTTCGACGCGATACCTACCACAATAATCATAGTTATGCCATCAGTACAGGCAGGGTTTTATTGAGTCAGCATTCGCTCAGTCTTATACTTTTTTTGTTATCAATGTCGTTATCTATACAATTTTAAATATAGTTGTTATTCAATAGCAGACTTTTAAGGATGTATTTCATAATTAATTAAAACGAAAGCTATAAATAGTTCTATACAAATTTCACAACATTCCACACATGTAGATATTAAATAGATTTGAAATAACTTGTTACGTTTAACAAATTACAGATAACAAGAGAAATTCACATGCGTACTGTAAATATTGATTAAATATTATATTTTTTATAGTAATGAATATATTAAATTTGATTCTATAATATCAGCGATCACGAATACTAAATATAAATAATAAATGTTATTTACTAAAACATTTTGCCAACTTTTGTCTGAAAATAGGAGATTCTTTTGTTATTTATTTGAAATATTTATTTTGTTATTTATTTGAAATAAGGTTTTTTGAATTGTTAAATATTAAATTCAATTTATATTATATAAAAACTTTTATAAAAATTATAATTTACATTATAATATTTAATGTAATGAAATAATTTTAAAAAGTAAAAATTAAAAAACTATGAATGACATTTTATTCTTATAGGAAATAAACCTACAATACTTTTAAACTATCTTTAAGATACGTAAATGTAGATAGGAAATTGATTCATCATTGATGAATCGTTGAATCATTGAAATGATCTGATCATTTGTATCTCATGATCTTGTTAATTGTACTGATCATTGAAATGTCAAACGAATTCTTTACTATAGAATATCAATGTGATTATCTAAATTTCAGTTCACTCTTATTTATTTTGAGGTGGGACATTACGAGGTTTACAGTAGTAATATATAGGCAAGATTACCACTTTTTATAAGAAAAAATTATAAGTGTGCAATTACATTAAATCTTTGACAATATAATATTATTCTAATATTATAATAGTATTTACATTGGTATGAATATGGATAATTTAAAATTTATACTGTTAATAAATAAATAAATAAATATATATATATATATATATATATATATACAAAATCCTTCCATCGATAAATCAATATTATCATACTTTCCTATTTATTATATACGTATAACATTTACATTTAATACTTTTTTAATAGTAACAATATATGTAGGATAGAAAAATATCACTATTAAGCATTTAATATTCTCATTCCTCTCATATATTTTGGGCCATCATTTAAGTAATTGTATAACAATTCGTTAGATACTACAAAAGATAGTAAATTATGATTTTGTGCTATGTAAGATATACAGTAATAAATTTAGTATCAATTCAGAATTTAGTCAATACTAATTTTTTAATGGCAAGTTTTCTTTTGCAGCCTTAGCACACAATTTTATAGTTGAAGTTATACAGAAAACTATGGAAAACTATGGAAAGGTATGGAAAAGTAACAACGATTATTTATAAATTTTTACAAATGAAATATTAAAAATGTACTGTATAGATATTTCCGTTAATTGATAAAAAGGAAAATGATAAAAAAACATAAGATTTTAATTAAATACAATTAAATATTGCTTCGTAAATAGTAATTTAGTAAAAAAAAGTACACGAAACATGGTATTTATGATTTAAACAATAAAGCACTGTACAGGTTGTCGAAACTAGTGATTGGAGGACGAAATGAATGGTACACTATCTCTACCAACGACAAAGATAACGCTAAGTTGCATTAGGTGTAATGATGGGTAAAAGCAAAGATCGGAACAGGAGAAAACTCGTCAAGCAGTTATGTTAAATGATGAAGGTGATATCAGATTTCGGATGGAGTGATAGAAATAGGTGTTTAGATATATCGGGTGTTACGCAGTTCGAATGTGTTTGATGGACGGATTAAAGCTACCTCTGTTTCCGCTACTAATAGAGGCATGGAAGAGCTATCTGAATAGATCCGGAGATTTCAGAAAGGTTGATGAAGGGATCGACCGATCCAGAGACTCCGATGTGCGAGGCTAACGCTTTTATCAGCCAAATATATTTTCCTTATATATTACAGCTAAATCATAATCTCCAAGGATCTGTATAGAGAAATGTTTTGTAGAAAAGACTATTCATTGATGGACTATGCAGACTACTAATTTAATAATTTCTTTAAAAACTAATCTAATTCAAATAATTCAACTACTCTAATAACTAATTTAACTAATCTGTGAATACTCCCGACTTTAAATTTTAGAAATTTATTGAATGCATACTCGAGTTTAAATGACAAATTTGTCATTATTATATATAAAATTATATATAAAAAGATTTGGTAAATAAAACAATTTTATAAAGTATTATTTATCAAACTTTTTTGAAAATTATGCATCTTAAGTTTTTATTTTATTTACTCTGTATTTACTTTGATTTACTTTAAATTATTTTCATTCTTAAATTACAATATTTTAGCAGGTTAATAAGAACTTATCGATGCAACCTCAATAACAAATTATGAAATTCTTTATGGTTTTATCTTTACGATAAACTGTTTTTTAATCTGACCAAATAATCTAGAAAAGAGTTAGTATTATTTTTATTTAACTGAATGGGGTCCTAAAAACTAATTTTTTCGTACATGGATTGATTAAATTACTTCTGAACTATCGATTTATCAAAATATAAAGTGTATTTAGTTTGGAGACCTTTTAACAGTTTTAGCAGCGTATCAGAACATTTCCCATAATTGCATAAAATATTTGCTGTCAAACAGAATGAGTACCTGTTCTATATTATTACATCTACGACGATATAAAAGCACAACATGTTATGAGCGAAATGTAGATGACGAAAAGTCACAGTGTCTCTTACAATCTAATTGTTCTCTTTACTGATGATCGCTTTGAGCCATAGCTCTTGTTTACTATTAGTAGTGAACGAGCGCAATTTCAAGGGAGTGCGTTTCGTAAATGAATGATAATTGCTAAATTTTTACCAATTAGCCATCGCATTTGCCTTTAGGTAAAGGCTAGGCGACTTGCAATAATAAAACACGGATTGTATTCTTTAATATATAACTTTATCTTTAATATAAAAACAAGCAATTTCATTAAATATTTAAATGTTAAATTGTTTTATTTATTTATCCTTAAAATGAGAATTACATTTAACAGAAATAAAGATAATTATAATACTATATAAACATATGTGAACTTAAGAATTCATTTTAAAAAATAATAATTGAAACAAATGTATTTTTAATCAACTATAATATATATTTCAGTTAAAAATAGAGACATTTTTCTGCTGGAGGGAGGTCATGAACTGCTACTTACTTCAGTTGGTATCGTGAGTTATTCTTCATGATTGGTACACTTCGTACAATTGTATCTGCTTCTGTACACGTAAATGGAGTGGTGGATCCATGACCTAGCTTATTAATGCTTGAATGCACAAACGAGTGAGTGATGTTTTATTTCTCCCTTTTACGCGTTCTTTGTGAAGTATTCATGATTTGTTAGCGCTGCCGGCCATGTTAACTCAAGATAGCTGTATTCTTTGTTAAAGGCCTTGTGTATGTTTTTAACCTGTTATTTTACACCTAGAACTTTTTTAATGGATGTATCCAAATGAGATGAAGGAAGCTCTTCAGCAAGCTCCTTAAGTGCTGACATATGATTCCATTGACTTTGAGCGAAGCTTTAGAAGGTTGGAGGATTCTGAGAAACATATGTTTACTTAATTCGAGAACTAGAGAGCTTTTCGATTTCCGAGAGCCAAAGGTCTTAGAAAATGCTCCAATCTCGAACAACTCTCGAAGGAAAGTTGCGCGTTTGTATTTACATAATAAGAATATTATAATAAAAAATATTAAAGAACTATTTTCTGAAGTGCGCCGTACCTAAACTTAGAAGCTTCATAAACGTAAAAAATAAACTTCTTGGATTTATTTTTGAATAATTATACTATAATTTACACTATCAAGGATCCTTCAAATTACTCACATTATTAATAAAGTTTATCTCAGAATGTCTTGCAATTAACACGTATTGTAATACTGTAATAACAAGTACTGAAATACTCGTTATTTGGCATTCCGTGAATTGAGCATCGACGAATCTTACCTGAGATATTTTCCCTTTCAGCTTCTGTATATTTTAGATTGAGTTATCGAGGTACTTTCTGTATAAGAAACCTAGTTCGTCTGCTACTCGAGAACTCATAACATGAAAGAGATGATAATTTTCATTAAGTGAATACACAAAGAATCCAGATTTTAGACGTTAGAATTTTTTACATTTTAAGTTTTGGTTTTTCGGAATTGAAATATATACTTATCCATATATTTGTTTTCATTGCAAAATCACGCCTAAACATTTATATTTAATTTTTGTTAACATTTGACAAGCAATTTTGTTTTTAAAAAAGTTTTTGACAAAATAATGGCGTATTATAATTTGGAAGATTTTCCTTGTATAAATAAATTAATTTTAATAATCATTTAATATTGTTGTATAGTTTTTTTATTATTCCCAAAAAACGAAATTAGAAAAATAATTTTTCCATTAATAAGATCAATACAAATTTTAGATTCGGACATTTATTTTATTATCTTATCTATAGTAATATTCAAATTAATTATTAATATAGAATATTAATCATCCGACGACGTCAAAGTATTTTTTATTCATGCTATACATTTTTTATGTTCAGTACTTTTATAGAATGTATTTTCGATTTAAGATCAACGAATGATATTAAAACTAGAATAAATAATTTTTCTTGTATTAAAAATAATTATTTTTATATTTTCAATAATGCTTAATAATATATTTGTATAGTTAATTTTGATTAGTTCTAAGTGATTTGTTTAATATTTAGAACTGTGGTCGATTATTAATTCATTTTTCTTAAACTGTCGTTCTTAAACCGCCTGAAATTGCCGTGATTTGTCATAATTTTATCATTACACGATACGTGCATTAGTAATGCTTTATCATTACATTT